ATGCTCCCGATGTTTCGATTACTTTTCATCAACCGTCATCACGGTTAAAACCTTCTGAGTATGTTGTTGTTGAAATAATAAAATACGCGAGTAATACGAAAAATACTAATTTCAATTAAAAATATCTATATACTATGGAATAATCCACAAAAATACCTTTATGTTGAAAATAATTTAATATTTTTTAGTGATTTCAAGAGTTCTTTGATATTGATTGACTTATAGTTATAATGTTTTAAAATTTCAAATACATTTAATTAATAACTACAATCTGGGAGACTAAAACAGTATTTTTAACATGTATCTCATTTAGATCATGCTATTAGGATGAGGTAATTTTTAATTCGTCACAATAGTGACGTCAGATATTATAAATAATAATTTATAACGATTTTATAAACATTCAAATTATATTATATTTATTAGAAATCAATAATTAATGTTCCTTTTATGTATCTATTAACACCATGTACAAGCTCATCTAATATATTAAAGAATAATTATATATTAGTTAACGAGAAGTAATCTTTATAAAAAAAATCATTGATAATGTATGAGAATAAAATAAAGTTATAATTAAATTAAAAGTTAGAACACACGGGACAAGAGATGAGAAGAGATAACGAATGACTTGTGGAGAGATCTGTGTGGAACTGTTGACATACATGGCGTTAGGCTGGGGGCACACTGAACACGGCTACAGTATCATTATATTAATAGTGTGTATACACCTTAATGAGTTTGTATGTTTGTTACACCAAGATGTGTACGATGAGATAAGTGTTCGCTGGAAATATATTAGTATTTTTTTTCTAACAAATAATATTGTTTTCTTCATCAGCATTTAATATTGATGCTATTTACTATATTGTATCACCTTCATTAGTTTATTTCATATGAATGAATAACAAAAACGACAACTGTATATTCATTTTAGACCCTTACTATAAGCTCGAATCGTCATACTGTATATTTGGCGTTAACAGTTTCTCAATCATGAATCTTAACACATTACAGTACTAACTTAGGTAATTGAATGAAATACATGAAACGCATCGTGAGTAGTGTGACGTTAAAACTCGTGTTAAGCGTCAATGACGTCGCCTGTATTTATATTTATATAATACAAGAAGACCCGCCGAACTTCGTATCGCCCTATAATCAAGAAATATCTGTTACGTTTTTTTTAATTAAATTTTTGGAGTTTACCTGTAAGCCATAAATCTCCGTGTTTTGAAGTGCGACACAATGATTGACATTTTAGTTAGTTGTCAAATCTAATGTCAAAAAAAACGTTTGTATGGGAAATAGAAAAGGGCTGTTTTTAGGGTTTTCCCGGAAATGAATCAATTTTTCTCAGTTTTTAAACCTTCCCTGAACCTCCACGAACATTTCAAGACTAAGATAACATAAATCCGTTCAGCCGTTCTCGAGTTTTAGCGAGACTAAGGAACAGCAATCCATTTTTATATACATAGAAGATTCTACGTGTTTCTGTCTGTCTGAATAATCTTTAATGTAAGTATTTCCCAACAATGCTCGTCCTCGCTCCTCTCCTATTTGCTTCACAAAGACTTCATCTCTTGACCCGGTCGCTGTACGTTCCTTTTGAACCTAATTTCACTATTGTGTCAGTTTATTTTTCTATCTTTTTGTTTTTTGTATCTCTTAAACGTTTCGATACGGATTCAGTTTAAAAACTTAAATAACAGTGAGCACTAAAATTGCTTTATTTATTTATACTCTTCTTTTACCTCGCAGGGTCTGCCTTACATGTTGTGAATAGTTTTGACTAATTGTTTTTACGGCCGGCCGTCTGCCTGACATCAACCCTCTTTGGGAATGCATTAATCAGTGATGTCTAAATACTCTTTGAAAGTACATATGACTCGGAAAAATCATATTCGTATTTGCCAGGATCGAACCTTCGCTCTCATGCATGAGAGGCGGGCATTTTAACCACTAGGCCACCACTGACTGTTTTATTTATTATACCATCAAGAAGCAAATGCTTTGTCCGCGATACGATCTAACCGATAGTGTTAAAGTAATCACCATTACGTCGCCGGTAACCGTATGTACATGTGTTGAATGATTGTATCAAGACGAGCCGACGCCCTAATTACTGTTGTGCTGTCACTGACTGTTGTTGTTTGAGAATTGTTTCTCTAAGTATTAATATGATTACTATAAGTATTAGAAAGGGAAATATTTTCATTTACTTAAACGGAAAGAACATTTAATATATTGTAAACTAGCTTTCCGCCCGCAGCTTCGCCCGCGTCGAGTTCGGTTAACCTTACAAAAATCTGGGATAAAACTGTCCTATTTTTTTTCTCAAGGTCAACTCTATGTCTGTACCAAATTTCATTAAAATCAGTTCAGTGGTTAAGGCGTGAAAGCGTAACAGACAGACAGACAGAGTTACTTTCGTATTTATAATATTAGTAGGGATGAGACGAAATCTGTATAGTATATAGTAAAACGAAAAATGTATTGGGATGAGTCGCTGTAGATAATTTATTTCACTTCACTATCACTCATAGATATAGTTGAAGCTAGAATTTCTCTAGAATATAAATAATTAATGTGATGGTAGTTAATGAGTTCATTTAAATTTAACTAATATGTTTGGTATACTGCGCCTGCTTTATTATTTTAACTTCATACTCCCGACGTTTCGGTTGTTTTTTAGCAACCGTGATCACGGAAAGACGTAGTCTCTAAAAATATCTATAAAACCCATACATATTTTCGATAATTCACCAGAAAATTAGTTTATTCTTCCTTATTTCTTATCACATCTCGTAGATGATTTAAACTAACAATCTATGCTATCTATTTATCTATATCATTGTTTGTTTAAATGTCATCTAACAGGACGAGGTGACATATTTTGACATCTGTCAATATGACATCACTAGCTTCTAAAAAGTGTTGATTGAAATTATATTGTATGATTCAAAAAATAAGGTCGTAAATCGTATTAAGGTTGATTCAACCAATGATTCAAGTCAGTCCCTTATTGAAGTGTAGCTAGCACATGCGGGTCGGATGTGTAAAGTTTAATGTATTAAAAAATAAAATATATATATATATATATATATATATATATATATATATATATATATATATATATATATATTATAATATTATTATTGTATGGTACTTGTTTACTCCTAGTTCGTTCTTATATTACTATACTTTTTATATATATTTGTGTAGTATAAATATGTAAAATTTACAAAGTATTGCATCAATTAAAAGAGTTTACCAAAAATTATAAATCCATACATTTTTTTTGATAGTATGAACGTCGTACTGTGTGTCAAATACTGAAAACGATTAGTTTGCAGTAACGATGTAAACTTATAGTTGGGCTATTGAATGTATCTTTTATATTATGTTTTCTAGTTAATTGTCATTCCATAATTAATAGTTATGTATGTTTTTTGGATATATTATTAAGACTAAGTTGCTACTAATGTTAATATATCTTCCTGTAATTCAATGAAAAACAGTAATTGCCTTCAGATTGTGGTTATTTCTGTTACCTCAAACAGTAGCGACTGATGAGGGAACTATTTCATTTTAATTCAAACTAGTATGTCGATCAAATTGGAACAAATACGTGTATTGACCGCATTAAGGAGTATAGACATTGTAAGAGCTTTCCACAAATCACTCCGAAATTATAAATCCTATTAATTTCTTTCATTATAGAACTTCAAAGGTTTGTTGTATTAATTAATGCTTCTTTATTTTTATAAAGCAATTGAATATGTTATCAATTTCAATATAAACATGGAATAGTCTTTATTTTTCAATAAAAACCATTGGGTTTTGATAGAGCAAAAAAATATTTTTCTGCTTAAAATCTCCTACATCCATCAGTAAGGTAATACAAACACTATCATAAATGGTATATTACGTGTGCAAAACGAGCGATCGGCTCTTGAGCACGGTAATGTTGCACCGACGGAGCCATTCTCAGGCTTTATTGGAGCCACGTTGTGTCGAACGAGCCTTCCTCATTTACAACCGAATACCGACGTACGGGGAATTTGGGGAATTCAAATATCGCATTCAGTACCCTATATTAAGGGTTATTTCAGCATACCACATTAGGTTATTCAACATCGGGATGGTTGTATTGTATACCAATCAAATAGTATTCAAAGGGACCTTATCGTCTGATCAAAATTATGTTTGCGCACGAGGATGTCTCTATAGTCCTTATGTACATACCTTAAGGTTGAGAATTGTGTACCATTTGGTCTGGATTCGTTGTCGTCTGAGTGGTGGAGGGTTTAGTTTAATTATAAAGGATGGTTTACTTATTTGGTCGTTAAGAAGCACTCGAGGGCGAATAAAGAGAGCATTCAAGGGTTTTTCTTCTTTTAAAAAGCACTCGCGCAATCTGATGGAGCTGTGGGAATTGTGCGGATAGATTGAAATATACTCCGGTAATAATTAAAAATTTTACATCAATATGGACATTCTGTTTTAAATGTTTTGTGACATCAAACTGGAAAACACTAACTATTCATTGAAGACACCAATAACCTAAATAAATAAATTGTATTAATTTAAATAATAATCGTAAAAATTATTGTACAATGTATCTCCATTCATAGAGTAATTGATGAAGATTAAATTCGTCATGTCTAATTCAGCCAAATGAATCTTCAATAAATATCAAATCACTTTGAAATTGAGACCCTCTTTTTGAGTTTATGAGAAAATCTGCTTTCTTTTCAATAAACATAAAATTATACCAAATAAATCCTACTAATATTATAATTGCGAAAGTTTGTGAGTGAGTATGTTTGTTACTTCTTCACGCTCAAACCGCTGAACCGATTTTGATAAAATTTTGTATACAGGAAGCTGACGTCCAGCAATAACACATAGGCTACTTTACATCCCGGAAATCCGCGGGGCGCAACTAGTAATGAATAAACAATTCCTTTCCAGGCGGTGAAGATGCTTCCGATACCATGTTCAACCTTACTTCGGAGCCGGCGGATGTTGTGGTGGTGGAAGGAGAGAGTGCCACTCTATCCTGTGGAGCACCTTCTCCAGCCAGGCTCAGCTGGAGGTACAGCTCCTCCGCCCCACCCACCAGAGACCACAGCTTGCCACCAGCTGATAGTTTTAGGTAAGGATTATCTAGGTAAAGATTTTAGGTAAGGATTATCTAGGTAAAGATTTTAGGTAAGGACTATCTAGGTAAGCACAAAATAATAATCGAACAATTGAAGTGTACAGTTGTACGTTATATGCATGAATGTCTAGACGTTTTATGAAAACTTCTGGATGTTTGGAACCTAGTTGAAATACTATAATACATAGTTTAAATAATAATTTTACCGCTTTTATTGAAATGTCATTAATTAAGTTATATTTATTTTTCTGAAGATAAAGTTGACCATCCCACATTCATAGATAGATTTTGATAAAATTATCCAATAATGTGACTTACACATTAGAATAAGTATGTTCTATAAATAATCCCGATGTTTGTAGAATTTCTCTAGTCGTAAAGGCCTAATATTTCTATCTAATACGAAGTCATTGACGAAGGCGACTATATATGTCGCTGCTTACTTATATTCATTTTTGAAGCAGAGAATACATTTACTTCTGAAATCAATTCCAAATACCACGCGGGCGAAATTGTGGACCAAAACTAGTGTTTTATACAGGGTGACTGGTGAATTACTATCAATATTTAAGGAGAATACTCGGTACACGATTCTCATTCGAATTATGTAAAAAAAATAGGCACTTAATTTTTGACAAAATTTCAACACCAACACCACGCCGCCGCACGCGTATGTGTGAGTGTGTGTGTATACCTAATCTGTAGGGTGTTCACACGATGCGTAATTAATTACATAACTTTTGGTTAACTTTAGTTAGAAGTTTATTAATATTTATGTTATATTAATTTTTATTGTGTCATATATGATCGTCAAATATCACGTCCTCAAGTATCGATAGTAATTCACCAGTCACCCTGTATATTGTGTTTTATATTGATACGGACCTGTTCTTGTTTCAGGAAACAGTTGACGAACGGCTCATTGCTAATAGAAAGAATGTCTCCATCACTGGCCGGTCAGTACCAATGTGTGGCGACCGTAGATGGTGTGGGTACTATCGTGTCGAGAGTGGCGACTGTCTTCCTAGCTGGTGAGTTATATATGATGTTTATTGTTATTCGATTGTGGTTCTCCTTGAGAGTCGTCTTATAATAATTAATCAGACTATATGTGAACTTTTTTTGGTTTGATTTTGGATCTCAATCTGTCAAAAAACGAGAAATATAGTCTAACGAACTTGATTAAGTATAGAATAACTATCAATATATAGCCTTAGAGAGAAAAAGAGAGTTTGTAAAGCATATGTATAATTTCAGAAGTGCCAGAGTTCCTGGAAGGTCCCCGTACCATGTCAGGCGTGCTCGGCTCGCCGGCCCTCCTACCATGTTCTCTCAAACTACCGCTGCGTGTGGCTGTGAGAGTTATTGCCGCAGTCACTGAGAGGAGAGTGTACGGACCAAACAAGATACATGCACCACCGCCTGTGTTGAAACTCAATGTGAGTAGTACAGGGGTGGGAAAAAGGAGGGGGAGATAACAGAGAAAAGACTTCGGAGATACGGGGTTCCTAAAAGAAAAGTCTGTCTTTACAATCGTTTAGCTTCTAATCAATTAATGGTTTGGGTCAAATGATATAATAGATTATGAAATAGTTATATAAAACTATCTATAAATTAGATAACATATTCGGATCGTAGGCTTTTAACTGATTACCAATAAATTATTTCTATTCTAAGTGCTTTATTTAATACTAGGAAAATGGGATTAAAATAGGAAATCAATAGTGGACCAAGTACCTATCCAAATATATAAACACATTTTTTTTAAACTGACAGACGCATGTACCAACAAAGCATTAAAGTTATTTAATACATTGATTAAAGGACTCAAACACCAGTCGTATGTAATGAATATAGAAATACAACAGCCATTTGGCCCATAATAGTTTTTTGTTTCTTGTATTGCCGATAAGATCTCACTTTATCCCAGTTCCATACTCGCTGTAATGCAACATGCGATAGGTAGACAAAACAAGTATTACAATCGTTTCAGGCCAATAAATAAATGTATTTCTGTAAGGACTCCTTTAAAACTGATAAAGGAATAAATAACAATAAATATTAATGTAAATGAGTCAATTTTATCATACTACATATGTTATATGATGTTTCCAGGTGACATGGTTAAAGAATGGTTCTCCCGTACAAGTGGAGGCCGCTCGTCTGTACAGCACCGTCAGCGGAGCTTTGGAGATTGATCCTTTGAGGACGCACGACGCCGCTACTTATAGATGTGCGGTCAGCCTCGCGCACACCAACAAGCCACCTGTGTAAGCACATACACACACACACACGCACACACACACACACACACACACAACTATTATGATTCAAACACGCTCACACACAGAACTGTAGTATGATTCACTTCTTATTATTATAAGTTCAGTTATTCTCAGGTCGTTGACCCCGGCACATCCAAAATTTGATCTATAAATTCTTTTATTACACACACACACACACACACACACACCCAAACACTATAACATCTGTTCCGAGAAAATTATTCATGTATCAAGGTACAATAGTAAGGCTACAGTGAATATGTGTTTATGTATGTGTATATATTATTATTTGTGTGTGTATGTATGTGTCAGTCTGGGTCCGGAGATCGATCTCCGTGTGAACAGCGAGCTGGCGGGAGTAGAGGCCGCGCCCAGGATACTCACCGCGCCGCAACCAACCACCGTCATAGAAGGTACGCTCTACAGTATGAATATTATGTCGAATTAGATGATTAGATATGATGTATTAGGAATTTTTGATAGGATATCATAATGTCTGATAACTTTGAAAATAGTTTTGTTATTCCCCTTATGTGTAGTATGTCTTTAATAAACTGTTCTTAAATGTTCGTAAACGTAAATGCTATTACGAGGGCTGCTATATATATTTCTGGCCTAGGCAACACTAAGTGTTGCCAGGTGCAATCTGGCATTTCCATTGGAAAGTTTGACATTTTTTAGCATAAATGTACTCAGAACTTTTTGACTTACGACAATTTTTTTTTTCTTTTACAAGTACTTGAAGAAATCAATTTGGCAAAAAAATGGAATTAACTCGTGAACATTTTCGTGCGATCATTTTTCACAACTTTCGACGTGGATTATCACGACAAGAGTGCATCGATGAACTTAAATCTTTGTATGGCGACGAAGCACCATCCTATAGCACTGTGAAAAACTGGTACAACGAATTCAATCGTGGCCGACGCTCGCTCAAAGACGAATTCCGTGAAGGTCGTCCAAAAACAGCCGTTGTGCCAGAAAACATCGATGCCGTACGTGAACTGATAATGCAAGACCGTCATGTGACTTACCGTGAGATAGAGGCATGCCTAGGCATTTCTCCCACCAGCATACATTCGATATTGCATGAACACCTGGCCGTAAAAAAGGTTTGTTCTCGTTGGATCCCGCACAATTTGACAATCGCTCAAAAGAAAGCTCGTGTGGATTGGTGTAAAGAAATGCTGAAAAAATATGATCGCGGTGCTTCAAAAGACGTTTATAAGATCGTCACAGGTGACGAATCATGGATCTATGCGTATGAGCCCGAAACAAAACAGCAATCGACCGTGTGGGTCTTCCAAGACGAGCCAAATCCAACGAAAGTTGTTCGTGGAAGAAGCACTTCGAAGCAAATGGTCGCCTGTTTCTTCGGCAAAACTGGTCATGTGGCGACTGTTCCGCTTGAGCAACGTAGGACGGTCAATTCTGAGTGGTATACCACCATTTGTTTGCCTGAAGTCTTCGGAGAAATTCGAAAAATGAACAAGAGAAGACGAATCATTGTGCACCATGACAATGCGAGCTCTCACACATCGGCTCAAACCAGCGCCTTTTTGACCGGCCAAAACGTCGAAGTGATGGGTCATCCGCCGTACAGCCCTGACTTGGCACCCAATGACTTCTTTTTATTCCCACACATCAAGAAAAAAAATGCGTGGACAACGATTTTCGTCGCCAGAAGATGCTGTTGAAGCATTCAAAAACCATGTTTTGGAGGTGTCTCAATCGGAGTGGAAAAAGTGCTTCGAAAATTGGTTCGAGCGCATGCAAAAGTGTATAAATCTTGATGGAGAATATTTTGAAAAACAATAAAACCATTTTCGTTGATAAATATTCGTATTTTCATTATTAGGCCAGAAATATATATAGCAGCCCTCGTACTTAATAATAATGAACTTAGATGATGAAAATGGCTATATAATGACTCCTTGAGTGGACACCCATACATTAGATTTGAATATAAATACTGTAGGTATTACAATCCCTCGACGTGATTGGAATACCAATTAACAATTTCGTATCGTTTTTTGCTAATTAAGTTATTATAACTTGATCCAAAACGACGAAATTAGCACTATAAGTAATGGTACGCCTGGTAAATCAGAAAAATATAACTTTTATATCAATATCGAGAAAACCTTACATCTTATTTCTATAAATAGTACATTAAATATAGTAATAGTAACTTCATTTCTTAAATATATAGTTATATTGGTGTCATTCTTGTATTTCCAGGCGCGTCCGTTACATTCGACTGTGCAGCCACCGGCAACCCTAAACCGGAGATAGTGTGGCTCAACAACGGCGTCGCTATAGACTTGAAGTACGAACACAATCAACTTATTACACAGAGATAGTCCATCATAACTTGGACTATGCGTAATAATAGCGTTAATTGCTATAATTTATATTATTCCAATAGAATCGCAACTATTAATGCGATTAAATTAACATCAGAAACAATCTTATTCATTTTAGTCCTATCTATACGAAAAAAATAATTTTTTAGTCACACTTGGTCCATCATATCTTGGACTATGCATAATAATAGCGTTAATTGCTACCATTTACTTAATAATAATTTACTTAATAATTCCAAGAGAATCGTAATAATAAGTACGATTTAAATTAACACCTTATTAATTTTTAGCCTATCTATTTCTATATCATCATTATGTAATACAGGTATTCCTATACCCATCACGGGTTCCAGATTCACTAATATATATTTATATGTATAAGATGATGTGTATCAAGTATTTTGTGAATAGAGAATAAATGAAATGTATCTGTGTGTAGTGATCTCGACTCTCGTTTCTACCTTGTGGGCGGGGGCTCTCTTCGTGTCATTTCGTCCCGGGCGGGTGACGCGGGCGCATACACCTGCCGCGCTACTAACAGAATAGACGCTGCCGACCACTCCGCACACCTACACGTATTGGTATGAACACATACTATATAATACTGATATTTAAACATAGGAGCAATAGTTAGGATCCCTTAAACCTACACCTGGGTCGCAAGTCCCAGTCACTGTTGAAGCTCCTCACACTACAACGATACACGCACATGAATACATGGAATGAGAGGTTTTATCTCTATATAACAATAAATGTCGATAAGAATGCTTTAAATATGTTTTCATCCTATCACTTAACCCTCCCCCAGTCACCGCCCCGCGTGTCAGTCCGCGACGGGTCGTTGGTGAGGTCAGTGACCCGCGGTGACGTCACACTGAGATGCGACGCGCGCGGCCGACCGGCGCCGGTAGTGACGTGGTTGAAGGACGGGGAGCCTCTCACACCGAACAACCACGACATCATGGTTGACGGGAGCTCGCTGAGGATAAGAGGCGTGCTGGATGTGGATCAAGGAGTGTTCCAGTGTGTGGCGACCTCGGCGGCTGGCAGCTCTGCCGCGGCGCTCAGACTGATAGTGGCACCGCACGGTATGACACACGATATACACTGGGGGAGTATATACATATAGGTGGGGGAGGATACACACGTATGTGGGAAAGTAATCACGTATATAGAAAGACAGTAATAATATTATATAGCAATAAAGTTAAATTGATGTCATACAAATAAAATATATCAATATATTCATCACGAACAGAGATCAATCACAAACTCTAAGTTTTTTCAAGAAACAGACATGATGTTTTAATATAGTAATTAACTTTTGTTCATGTATACAGAGTGACTGGTGAAATACTATCAATATTTAAGGAGCATACTCGTCACATGATTCTCATTCGAATTATGTAAAAAAAATAGGTACTTAATTTTTGACCAAATTTCCGTATAAATAAATAAAGTGTGTACACGTTCCAAGTGTTCCAAGTGTGGACGCGTGCGGCGGCGTGCTGATACAACACTACGCCGCCGCCGCGTCTGTGTGTGTGTATACCTAAGGGGCCATCCATAAAGTACGTCACACGTAAAGGGGGGGGAGGGGGTCGACAAAGTGTGACATTGTGTGACAAGGGGTGGGAGGGGTCCTAAGTTTCGTGACATCACATTTCAAAATCTAGAGGTACTAATCGCGTAATTTGAAATTTTAATTAAAATCTTTAAAACTGAGCGCGTCATCATATATATATGTATATTCATTAGTTTATTTTTTTGTTATTGTTTCAAATATTTGATACTGTATTGATTTCATAAGAAAGTACTTAATTTAAATGGAAATAAAACTAATTTCGGAACTGCTGTTTTAATTTAATAATTTATCGATGTTAAATTGCAAGACATGTGACGTCACACTAGGGAGGGGGGGTCTCAGAAATGTGACCACCTGTGACAAGGACGGGGGAGGGCTCAAAAACTCATGAAATTAGTGTGACGTATTTTATGGATGGCCCCTAATCTGTAGGGTGTTCATACGATGCGTAATTAATTACATAACTTTTGGTTAACTTTACTTAGAAGTTTATTAATATTTATGTTATATTAATTTTTATTTTGTCATATATGATCGTCAAATATCACGTTCTCAAATATCGATAGTAATTCACCAGTCACCCTGTATATATAAACTTAAAATTCATTAAAACCAATAGATTTCGTCAATTTATGTCAAAGTTTCATCTAAACTAATCTTTTCAATATAATTACATAGTACGGAGAATTAATCTTTTTTCATATATAAAAAAAATATTATGAGTCCTTTCCAAGTTTTATATATTTTTTATTCCTCCAATATTTTTTGTTATAATTTTATAATTTCATTTCATCATTATTTTTATTGTTTTCTCCCATCATTTATGTTATTTTTATTATTTCTGACCCCCTTTCAGCCCTCCCTTCCAAACCTCCCCCCACTCCACAAATCAGTGACTTATACCCGGACGACTTGGATTTCATCGGCGAGACGTCATCAGCGTTCACGCCGCAGCCTTTATACGACGAGTTAGATAACGTAGATTATTCCGAAGATCTGGACTCCTACGACGTGGGGAAGGGAAACGCGAGCATTGTCTCCGCGCCCGGAGACTTCAAGGCGGTCATCGTGAAACATCGCTTCGTGACACTAAGCTGGACCGAGCCTAAACACGCGGTGGAAGAAGTCACGGGATATATTATACTGTATAAAGTGAAAGGAAGTGATCGGTGAGTATGACTTATATAAACATCAGCCTATTAGAGATCATTACTGAGCAAAGCTTCTTCTCACATAGAGAAAGTTTGAGCATTAATCACCACGCTTAATAAGACGGGTTGGTGATTTCAAACTTATAATTTGATATAAGTCCAGGTTTAGTCACGATGTTTTCCTTCATCTGTCGGTGGTGTCTAAATACTCTTATAACGTACATATGACTCGGAAAAATCACATTGTTACTTGCTAGATGCTCATGCACTCACTCACGCTTCTTTACATTATAATATATGTTGTGTTAATAGTTTGTATGGTAGTCTTATATTATTGTGTGTAGTGAGCGGCTGTGGTCGGGCGAGGCTCGTCGCCGCGAGGCGGTGCTCGCGTCCCTCGCTCCTCGCACTACGTACACGGCGCGCGCCCTCGCACTCACACGGACTGCTGTCTCCCCGCCTACAGAAGTAATACATTATACTACACTATATTCAATCTTCTTCTAGCTGGCAATTTCCCAGCTTTAGCCAGGATCTGCCTTACATATTGTGGATAGTGTTGTCTAATTGTTTTTACAACCGACCGCCTGCCTGACATCAACCCTCTTTGGGAATAATCATATTCAATAACATGACGATTTTCATACAAGCCAACTAATTCTGTTGTCTGCCACAGACTATAGAAGTGACGACTCCGGACGAGGAGTTATCATATGGTCCTCCTCTGAACGTGTCGGCGGAGGCGGCGGGCGCTCACTCGCTGCGGGTGTGGTGGGCTCCGCCCGTACCCCTCGGCCCACACGTACCGTCTGAAGTACCGCCCGCCGCTCCCGGGAGATACGTCATATACTATACAGAGGTCGGTCACTACGACTTGTTCAAAATCTGATACAGACTATAAATATTTATTAGGATACTTGATGGAAGAAACGCGCGTCTATGGTCTATCTAAAAGTAGTAATATCACTTCATTAATCTTATAATTTTTACGTGTCAACTATAACGAACATCTACAACTTCCTATAAACTAATGAGAAATCACACCTACGTCTTAAATTATCAATATGACGATACTACGTCTGGTCCTATGAAATAAAACACCATATATTTATGTTGTTATCATAGTTCCTGTATATTTATATCGTTCTATCACCCAGACGGAGTCGGGTCGCGAGCAGAGTCAATACACGAACTCCACCAGCATCACATTGAGCGGTCTGCGCGCGGCCACCAGCTACCGCGTGCGTGTGTCGGTGGGGGGAGGGGGCGCGGGTGACGTCACGGCCGCCACACGGGCCGACGCGCCCTCCGCCCCGCCCACTGACGTCACCGTCATCCCCGCCACTGATACGGTCAGTTACAAGGATATCATGTAGATGTATATTTTTTTATGTATCGTATACAGTAATACCCCGCTTTACGCGAGGGATACGTTCCGAAGAAAATCACGTTAACTGAAATTCGCGTATATCGAGGTTTACGATTAAGCACAGTCAAAATTTAATACACAAATATAAAAATCATTTTAATCAATCACTTTAATTCTAAGAACACTATACAATACATAGGTACTCCTATTTTTTACGAAAAAATACATGTATTGTCTTTTGGGTAGCGTTTTGTTTACGTTCTTGTAAAATACGTTCATAACACCCAACACTGTTTTTAATTGTTTGACACACGTTCAAGACACGGTCATCATTACTGTCTATACTCTGCAATGTCCCAACCTGAATAAATTTTTGAAAATCGCGTTATAGTGAAACCGCGCACAACGGGGTCGATTTAAGCGGGGCATTACTGTATATACATATATATTTATATTGTATCTATTTTTTTATGTAGTAAGTAATTTGTACACCCTTACCATCCTATCTCTCTCCTCTACCAAAGGTTGCCTGGGAGAGATCGCTGTTTTAGCGATAAGGCCGCCTATTGTACATTTTTCTTTTCTTTGTTTTACTCCTATTATTTTTGTCTATATTTGAGTGCAATAAAGAGTATATAAATAAATAAATAGATGAGTTGAGGAGCTAAGAATTATGATAAACCATTTAAAATGCTTAATTCGCCGTCTTTGGTAAGATAGGGTCTCAATTATGACCCGTGATTAGCAGAAAACAGTTGAAAAATGATATTCCAGAGATTGTGAGTTTTGTATTCGTGCTCAAGATATGTTCTATTTAAATTACAACTCCAGCTACTTCTGCTTTTAAAACTTTTACAAAAAAAAAGATAGAAAACTGTTTGTAAATCATATGTAAAGTAATTCCTTTGTAAATGAAACTAATATTTTCGGATTTTACTATACGTTTTATGTTTGATTATAAACTACATACTCCCGACGTTTCGGCTACTTTTCAGCAACCGTGATCACGGGCAGAGAGATGATCTCAAGTATGTAGTTTCTAATCAAAAATAAAACGCGAAAATAATAGCTTCATTTAAATGAGTACTCGCGAGAATCTTAGATCTAATTTCTTTGTACCAACAGTCGCTGCTAGTCCGCTGGTCGGCCCCGGCGGGTCGCTCTCACCGCGGGGCCTTAACGGGGTACAAGCTGAGGTACCGGACCCCCGGGGCCCGGCGCGCGGACTCACTCACCACGCCCGCTGACACCACGCGCGCGGACCTTACGGGCCTGGAACCATCTACCACCTACCAGGTACACGCTATAACATGAACTGGGCTTTATACGACTGGAAAAAAACGATAGTGTATATAAGTTTTTATAGGACACTAGCTTCGCCCGCGTAGAGTTCTGTTATATCGCGTTTCCAAAAAAACCTTTTAAAAGTCTGGCATAAAAACTATCCTATGTTCTTTCTCAAGGTCAACTCTATGTCTGTACCAAATTTCATTAAAATCAGTTCAGTGGTTTAGGTTAACTCTTGTACGACGTCTATAAGTTAATAAGAAAAATAACAGCTGTAGTATCTTCATCCACCACTCTGATATAGTCCATTGAAATATCAAAATTTAAAGACGGAATATTGCAATTCTTTTTTGTGGACGCAATTTAATTTTTGGGATATGTTTGGGATCTCAATAGAAGATTAATTAATTGCTCTATGTTTAAAGGTCCGCGTGTGTGCTCTGAACGCCAACGGGTCCGGTCCGTTCAGCGAGTGGGTCTCCGCCACCACGCAGCCGAGACGGAGACCCGAGAGCAGCGTGCCCGCCGCGCCGCCCCCGCTCACTAGTACGAACACACACACACACACACACACACACACACACACACACACACACACACACACACACACACACACACACACACAGAGAGAGAGAGAGAGAAAGAAAAATCACACACACACAGAAACACTTCATTCAAATACAAACAACATATGTCATACTTAAAAGTCATGACCTCTAACCCATACAGATTTTCTATAACTAAGTTGTATGAAAAAAGTCAACTCCTTACGGTTAGGCAACTATAGTCTATAAATTGGTTATCCAAAAACATAGATAACCCCCTATCATGCCGACGAATACAGTAAACAATGTGTCATTAAAAACGTATGTCCACCTGTTATATGTCGAACAGCTTCAGCCAAACGACAACATGATTTTAAAGCAGTTTATTTGTATAACAAAATAAATAAAATAAAAAATATACGTCCCTTATGTAGTCGTGAAGTAATTATTAAAAATTGGCTACTAGGACTAGATTGTGAGCAAACTGAACTGTTGTTGATATAATATTTTGTGAAACAAATTACACACATACACGCACAAACACACACACACACACACACACATTCTCTACTCTAGTATACAGTAAGAAATAATTATTTATCATTTATTTTTATTTACATCGAACGATATGACACTAAAATATAAGAGAGGACACTGATTTCTGTAATACAGGTCTTTGAGCCTAACTCAGAAATCAGGGACTTCATTATACTTTGTAACTTTTTTGTGAATAAACATTTATTATTATTACATATTATGAGGATAATAATAACTTGTCAACAGCCCGCGCGGGTCGCGACTGGATCTCCGTGTGGTGGGGCAGCGAGGAGGGGTCCAACACACAGGGGGGAGGGGGGGCGCCCGTCAGGGGGTACTGGCTGGGCTGGGGGCTCGGAGTACCAGACTCACACTCCAGGGAACTGCCTGCGCATGCGCACTCACATGTTATAAGAGACTTGGGTAGCGTTTCTTTTCATAATAAGACATATTGCGTGAAGTCAGCTAAATATTCTTGCTCAAATAGTAGCTGTATATACATTTTCTTAATATATTTATCATCCAAGTAAACTGTGCATCATGTTCGTAACTCAGAATCCAACTCGGAGTACGTGATATCTCTCCGCGCCAGCAACACGCTGGGCCTGGGCCCGGCGGTGTACGCGACCGTCCGCACCGGGCCCAGCGACGGGGACGACGAGCCCGACGAGCCTGACGGGCCCGAGGACGACCTGCCGCCCCTCATACCGCCCGTTGGACTCAAGGTGACGTAGTGGGGGGAAGAGGTCAAGGTCAACTGAAGGTCAAATGATAACGCTGCTTGTGTCACAGGTCATCATGCTGAGCGGCACCACTGCGGTCGTTTATTGGACCGACCCTACGCTACCTAAGGGACAGGTATGAAGATGTTCTTGTGTGTGTGTCTGTGTGTGTGTGTGTATACTGAGTCAGTGTGTTTGTGTGTGTGCAGACGGCTGCAGACGGCCGCCGGTACGCGGTGCGGTGGTCGGGCGGCGGGAGGTCGCGCGTCTACAACGCTTCAGACCTGAACCTCATGTTGGACGACCTTAAACCTTACACGCACTACGAGTTCGCCGTCAAACTGATTAAAGGTAGTTTTGAAACTTTCAATATGTTCTCAATAGTCGGTCAGTTGTAGACATCTTGCGTGATAGTATCTACTCCTTTAAGAATAAAATCGCCTCACATCTAAAGAACTTTTGCACAGAATATAAATAAATAGCTATGATGTCATTTAACTTTGATTATTTAATGGAATTCTTATATAGTTTTACTAGCTTTTTTACAATTTTTAATTTTTTACACAAATTAAGAAAAATGCTGTATTTTGTAATCATGTTTTTTTTTACACAATTTAATGTCTATTATTTTTATTAATGTAACTCTGTTAGTCGTTGATTGCCTATAACAAATTTTATGCTGTAATTACCTGTTAGTAAAAGAACAATTAAAATGTATTAATAAAATTACTGCTGTATACGAATTATTGTATCTTTTGTGGGTAGTTCTAAATAAATAAGTTGTAACAAGTCATTCATTCATTCATTCTCCGTAAGATGGTCGTGAGTCTCCCTGGTCGATGCTGGCTAGTAACACGTCCCTTGAAGCAGCCCCGGGCTCCGCCCCCCGCGAGCTGCGCGTGTCCCCCGCAGCCCCCGCCTCTCGAGCCGCTGACTTGACGTGGAGCCCACCAGCTAAACCCAATGGAGTTATCACAGGTATGTATAAAATATTTTCTTATATCAAATTTGAAAACGAGCAGATGGTCTACTTGATGGGCAGTAGTGAACATCACTTATAGACATCTGCTACATAAAAGATGTTGTGGATGCGTGGCCGACCTTGATTGTGTGAGAGGAAGAGAAAAGGGGGGAAAGGGAAAGGGCAACCGTCTCTCTCACTCATCGAACGAAATACATCCCTTAAAGACTACTTCACGCCGATCTTCTGTGAGAGGGTGATACTTACGGTCGAGACAGAACATGTTCGAGCTGTAGTTACTAGATCGAAGCTAGGCTCTACCTATTAAATGATTCTATACAAACTATTCGGAACAATATAAGTTGGTTCATATTAAATCCTACACTTGTTGGCTATTACTTCTATCTATGTCTATCTATGGTTAAAGATCTTTATTCTCATAAGAACATACACAGGTTCACTTACAAGAGATTAAATAATATTACACACATATATTACTATTTGATACATGGCATGGCTGGTACTACTTAATATTTTCTAATATATATATTTTAAGTTTATTTTTAAAAGCAATTAAACATTTACATTCCTTTATGTAGTTTGGCAAATCATTATATAGTTTTACTCCATCAAAACGTATATTTTTGTGTCCATAATTTAAGGTTCTGACTTTAGATAATTTAAGTTTATGTCTGTTTCTTAAGTTATGCTTGTTTGATTTTTGTGTAAATGTTATGTTTAAATGAATACTTTTACATAGTATCTTTTTAATTAAAATACACGTGTTATAAACATATGTATGACTTAGTTTGAATAATATTGATTTTTTGTACAGTTCTATCGACGGTGTGAAAAAGTCATAGTGAAAAAGTACTTTTATAATTATGTTCTGTGTAATTTGTAAGATTTTAAGTATAGACTTTGAAGCTGACCCCTATATTACAATTAAGTAATCAATGTGTGGCTTTATCAGGGAAATGTAGATAACACTTCGCACTTTTTTTGTTATACAATTATTAGATATATCTATACTTACTATCATAACTCCTCCAAACCAATTTCCATTCCCAGGCTACGTGATAATGTACGGCGTGTCTCGCGGGTCGGGCGCGGCCGAGGAGTGGTCGGCCCTGGCGGCCCCCGGGGAGCGAGGCCGGGCGCGCGTGGACCGGCTGCGGGCCCGCACCACGTACAGCTTCAAGATACAGGCCCGGAACAGCAGGGGACTGGGGCCTTTCAGTCCCTCCGTCACTTACACTACCGGGATTGGTGAGTTTGAGAACTAGAAATAGATTATCTTTGTGTAGTATTGTAGATAATTTAGTTTTAGTATTATTTTTTTTTGTTCTATATGATGCTAGTTGTTTGTAAGTTTGTCCGCGTTAATTATGGCATTAGATGTATGTATGTAGATATATGTATAATATATGATATATGTATGTAGATATATGTATAGCTGACCGGGCGAACTCTATTCCGCTTTAGAGGCGGTTAATAAATATATATGGGAATTTATTAAGGATTTTTTTTGGAACAAAATTATATATCCTATGTCCGTCTCCTGGTTCTAAACTACCTCCCCACTTATTTTCAATCATATCCCTACAGCAGTTCTTTCATTAAAATTACTATAACTAACACCCATTTCTTATATATATATATATATAAGAAATGGGTGTACGATATAGGTATATATATATATATATATACATATATCGTCGCAAGTACTATTATTTGAATAATCAATAATTGAGAGTAGTGGAAAGTATCCGTTGTCACCCACACAACCATATCTGGTATGTTATTGAAGATTTTCAAAATAAACCAAAATTAGTTTCTCTGAAAATACAAAGATTTTTATTTAATACGCCTTAACAATATTATAACAATTATCGTTTAACTACCTTTTCCGTCTGGCTGTGTCTGTTTTTATATTGCCCCGATACCCTCTTAAAATGCATCTGTAAATATTTTTATTGGTAAGTCTTTGTCGAATTTTTCCAGCATACGTTGAGAACATAAATATATATTAATTTGATTAAATATTTTTTCACACTTCTCTGACCACACAAACTTTTAATTTTTTCTCAATATATTATGTAGTGGGTCTAGCATAATTGCACTTCTTGGGATGTATTTATAGTAGAAGTTGATTTTTCTTAAAAATTGTCTGATATTCTTTAGTGTCTTAGGGATTTGAAAAATTCTTATCGAGATCAAATTATCCTTCAGTGGTCTTACTGAATTGTTCTGAATTCCATTTCATAAACTTTAATCTGAAGCCTTCTTTTATTATTGCCTTTAATACATTTCTTATATGTTTTATATGTTCTTCAAATGTGCTAGAGTATATCAGAATGTAAACTATATGTTGACGGAATACCCTGTGAGATTGTGTTTTCTTAGAATTTTACTAAACATTCTCTGGAAAATTGCTGGTGATGTTTCAAATCTCAAAGGAAGGCAGTGAAGGCCTGTTAATTATCGTTTAACTATGACAATTACAATTATACTTTTATCGTAAGTGAAAATACAAAGAAACGACAATAAAGTCCACTAATATGACATCCTCAATTATATTTCTTAGTTTATCTCTCTACACGTTTTAATAATCATAAAATGCACAAAATATAACTCATAAACGAGCGAAGTGCGGAAAATTTTTGTGTCACAATGTTCGTTCCTGTACTCCTCCAAAACGGCTGGACCGATTGTCATGAAATCTTGAGAGCATATTGAGGTCTGAGAATCGGCCAACATCTATTTTTCATACCCCTAAGTGATATGGGTTGTTCACCACAATTTTTTTTTATTTAGACGAAAGTTTTGTTTTTATTTTTCTATCATGTGAATTATGATTTCGACGGTCGGTGTATGCAATGAAACCAAAATTATTTGACTTAATTTAATTAAAAGTAAATTAAAACTAGGGTGCGACTATATCGCACAAAGGTTGAACAAATAGTGACAATAAATCTAATTAAATTCTTAAAAGAAATATTATAATCTAAAAATATAAAAGAAATATAAAACCAAAAACTGTGTTCACACGGAACTGCTGAGTCAGACCCGTGTAGAATAGACGAGTTTACCCAGAAGCTAAGGCGTCCTCTGATTACACCGTAAAAACGACCACTTATTACACCGTCACATAACATGTGGCATACCAAAATATATACAACCCTAATTTTTATTTTTTTATCACCAACCCCTACTTTTGATATGGCAATACAACGTTTGCGGGGCAGCTAGTATATTTATATAGATTCTTATGTAGTCTAGACTATAGTCTTCTTCTTCTACCTGACAAATTCCCAGGTATAGCCAGGGTCTGCTTTACATGTTGTGAATAGTTTTGGCTATTTGTTTTTACGACCAGACGCCTGCCTGACATCAACCCTCTTGTGGGAATTCAGCATTAATTACTTTGTCTAAATACTCTTAGAAAGTACATATGATTCGGAAAAATCACATTGGTACTTGCCAAGATCGAACCCGCGCCCTCATGCATGAGAGGCGGGCTTTTAACCACTATGCCACCACTGACTAATAAACTATCTAGACTATAGTCTATGTATCTATTGTCTGTCTCCAGAGAGCGGTGAAGGCTCGGGTCTAGCGAGCGCCACGTCCGCGTGGTTGTGGGCCAGTGCGGGCGGCGCCTGTGCTGTGCTAGCTCTCGCCGCGGCTCTCGCGCTGTCTCTCTGCTGCAGGAGAAACACGCCGCCAATGTCGCCCGACACCAGGTACAGACGAATATCACCTCTGATGTACATAGTAATAAGATAGAGAATTGCTTGGTCCCGGAAGGGATTATTTGCTCGTATGAGTGTATTAACAAATGTCTAATAACACTTCTGATGTATATAGTATTAAGGTACAGAGTACAGAGTCCCTTGATCATGTAAGGGACTGTTTACTTGTGAGTGTATAAACGAATATCTAATGTATATAATAATAAGGTTGAGAGTCGTTTGACTCTGTGTTGTTGGTCCTATAAAGGATTATTTGCTCGTATGAGTGTGTCATCATCAGTCTATCAGAACCTACTCTTGAAAAGCCTCTTCTTATGTGGAGAAGATTATGAGTGTATTTGTTGATAATAAATAGTACATTTATATTGGCCATACTGTGTATTCCTGTGTATGGTTCAGTAATGATGCGTCTTTTTTATTGAGTATTGTAACAGTTTATATCCTAAACAAAACTAACTATGAACAAAACGATTGTTGTTCATATTAAGTGTATTAATGAGTGTGTTAATGAGTCATATGTATGTATGTATGTTCCAGCACGTACCAGAAGTCGTCCGCGTCGGCCGGCATCAAGCCTCCAGACTTATGGATCCATCACGACCAGATGGAGCTCAAACACATGGACAAGAGCTTACACAGCTCAGCTAGTAAGAGTACGACTCACGAACACTCATTATACGAACAAAATATACATAATATTTATACTGGAAAGTCTTTGATATACCAAAAAATAAGTATATAACTAAGAAACAATACATTAAGACACCTTAAGCTTTTCTGATTGTCCATCCATCGTTGTGATCAATATTAAAATCAGATTACTTCGACTTTAGTCTTTACTTCGTCGAAAATCCCTGATTTAATTCCCACTACTATCAGCCACTTATTGGATTTATTTGAATTAATTTTATTACACACCTTAACATCGCTAAATATCGCAAGCTCATTAAATCATATAGAAGTAATATATCAATTTAGAATACTGGTACAAACATATATTACAACGTATCTGTATTTTACTTCCAGTATCAGCGGGTAGTGTCGAAGGCAGTGCGTTAGTATCATCAACGTTAACATTATCCCGCACCCCCCACCCTCATCCTCATCCTCATCCCGCCCTGCCCGCCCTGCCCGCCCCACACCTAGCGGAGTACGAGCCCGCCCGACACCCGCCGCCCATCACCAGCCTTGATCGAAGATACGTACCTACATACGTCGGTAAGAAAACACAACCTTATATTACACTAAGTATGTACATTGTATATTGTCTGTAGAATATTATTTCACTTGTTTTTATTTATAAATCATAGTAGTATTCGTTACATAAATGTGCACTTTTGTTTTGGTTATTATATACAGGGTGTTTGGAGTAACATGAAAATGACTATATGGTCGTGAACTATATATTCGTTACTCGAGCACCCTGTATACGTGTTCTTTACGTTGCCCCCCCTCCTCCCTCCTATGCACGTAGACCGTCGCTCTTCATCAGGCAGCGCGGACACCGCCCCTCTCCGCGCCTCGCCGCTCGACTACCGCTGCGACCTGCTAGGTGCTTTTTTTTGTTCATTTCAATTCATTCATCGCCTCTTTTTGTTATCTGTATGAAAGGTATTTTTTTATTGTTAATATATGGATATTTGATCTATTAAGAAGATTTGATTTTCAAAATTATGCTAGTGTATCATCATGCATAAACTTAAGTTTATATTTGTATTCTTCAAGTTGGTTATTTAACTTCAAGTGACTAGTCACATAATAATAATAATATTTATTTGCTTTGAATGTAGATACAGAATATAGGTGTACAAATAGATTTTAGTATAAGTTCCAGGTACATTCTACCTTAAGGCATGCAAATATTAGGTTTAAATTATAAATTAAAATTAACTATTCAATGAAAATTAGAAATTTAATTAACAATTCGATAAAATAACAACGTCAAATAAACAATACTCGTACAATTTAAATTAGAAATTAAACTTAACTACATAATTAAAATTAATTATACAATTATATTATATTTCCTATTATTTGTGATACATATACGTGTGTATGTGTTTCAGCCATGACAGGCGTCGGAGTGGGTGTGGGCGTGGGCTGTACCGGCACCTGCGAGCGACGGAGACATCTAGCGGATCAGGTATTAACAAAAATATATTCTATTAATACTCAAAAAATTAAATTTAGCTGCCTTCATTGGAGTATTTAGACACCACCGACATACGGTGAAGGAAAAACATCGTGAGGAAACCTGGACTTATAGTTTCACAATTATAAGTTTGAAATCACCAACCCGTCTTGAGCAAGCGTGGTGATTAATGCTCAAACCTTCTCCATGTGAGAAGAGGCCTTTGATGAGCAGTGGGCTCTGATAGGCTGATGATGATGATGATACCTTCATTAAAAGATGATATTAAGCAATCACAAAACGATATTTTTTAATTCACAGAAAACTAAATCTTATATCAATAGCGATAAGGTCTGTTATTGTTTGTTTATTTGTCCAGAGTACGCCCCTGTTGTCGGGTGTAGCGCCGCTGGGGTCGCCACAGTCCTCAATGACGTCTCAACCACCCGCGCCATGTTAGTATACACACACTGAGATAGACTATATATATGTGAACACATTTATACACAACATACGATATACTTGTTATGTTAGATGAAGAACTACTGGGAAATCAATTAATAATAAAGTATTATATTAGTAATTGTTCACAGAAACTCTAATATGATTCAAGTTATAACACTTTTTATTTTCCTTATGTTCCGAGTACATCTATTGCAGAATATCACGAGTCACTTTCACTATTATTTTGCATAAATCATGCATGTAATAAACTGAAATAATTTATGCTTTCAATGGTAAACAAATATAAAGCTAATTTAATTCTTTTCTGTCCAAATTGAGTTTAGTGAAATCCTCATATATAAACAAAATACATAATATTTGTGTCATATCTTTATTATATTATTTGTGTCAGGCGTGTCGGGTCAATGTCCTCTGGGTACATGTTCGGCGCCGGGGTCTGAAGTGTATGCGAGCGCGTCAACCGCGCGGGAGAGAGGACACTACGTGGCTTATGAACCGTTGGGACACTACACGCAGTGAGTACTAGGAAATACTGAATTAAGCACAGTTAGAAAAGTATTGGGTAAAATTTGAATCAAATAAACTATACAGGGTGACTGGTGAATTACTATCGATACTTGAGGACGTGATATTTGACATCATATATGACAAAATAAAAATTAATATAACATAAATATTAATAAACTTCTAAGTAAAGTTAACCAAAAGTTATGTAATTAATTACGCATCGTGTGAACACCCTACAGATTAGGTATACATACACACACACACACACACGCGTGCGGCGGCGTAGTGTTGTATCAGCACGCCGCCGCACGCGTCCACACTTGGAACACTTGGAACGTCTCCACACTTTATTTATTTATACGGAAATTTGATCAAAAATTAAGTGCCTATTTTTTTTACATAATTCGAATGAGAATCATGTACCGAGTATTCTCCTTTTTATTGATAGTAATTCACCAGTCACCCTGTATAGTAGTGGACCCTATCTGTGGACGGTTGCTACAGCTCGATATATACTTTTGGAAGTCCATGAGTGACGGTACTACCTCCGTTAGGTAGACCGTCTAAAAAAAATTATGTTTAAATTTCGTCATGAATCCGTGAAACTTTTGCTTGAATTAAAGCTGTGAATTGATCAATTCGATAATACCTATTTAGTTAACTCTATTCTAACTATTATTTCAGCCGTGACTCCGTGAGTACAGAGCCCGCAGCCCCCCCGGGCGGCGCCCCCGGCGGCTCCCTCCAGCGGCGGGGAGGGTGCTCCGCCCTCCACAGCTTCACGATACCTGACAACGCGTCCGACCACAGCACGCCCTCACACTCCAAGGGTGAGTATATAGTATATAGTCATATTTTTAATTAGACGAAGTCAACTGACATTTATTGTGTTGTCACTTTTTAGTGAAAAAAAATAGTGTTTGACAAAGTGAATGATTGAAAAAACTCCTAAATGAATAAAATTCCTTTGATTGTTTAGTGAATAGTTAGCGTGACAATTTGCCGATATTAGGAATGAATTTAGAATTTAAATAGTGCTTAGTTAAAATGTACCAACGATTTTTCGACGACTATGTTCCTATACTATCTACCTATACTGAATACCGAGTATTATAAACATTAAAGCCCTATTTTCAGTATATTATGAAACTATAGATGTATAAGATATAACAACGGCATAGACAAGGAAAGTAAAAAATCACTGAATACATAATTTGTTTTTATTCATAATCAGATAACAAATCATCACTGTCACCTTCGGTGACATTAATTATATATCTGTCTGAAACATTATACTAGTAACTTATAGTTACATACTACTAGTAACTTATATCAGAGCACTTTTATACAATTTTATTGTAAAATATAAATAATACTCTTAACCATTATATTTTCAAATAAATAACTATTTACATTCATTATTCATTCATCTGATTGAACCTAAACTAAACGCATCACTATTACTTTAAATATGACAACATTATTTAACAAAGTGACATTAGCTATTGTCAGTTGGCTTTGTCTAATAAAAAAATACGACTGTAGATTTTTAGTGAAATAATATATGAAATATCAACAGGAAATTCCTAAATTATATGTTTGGAGTTAATTCCAAAATGGCTGAATCTGTATAGAGTGGGATTACTAAGATAAAAATAATTTATACATTTTAAATAAAGTAAATATCTGAAAAGAAATGTACATATATCAAGTACAAAACTGTTTTCTTCCATTCAGCAGTGTATTTAAATATAGTTAACATAAGTTTTTGTAATAATTTATTGTAACAGATTATATGTTTATTAGAATGAAGAAGGCTTATGGATTGGTTATTATGAGATTGGATTAACTTATTATGAGATAAGTTATATCAGAACTCTTGTATGAACCTCAGTTAATCCTCATTCTCTCTCTAACCTCACAGGTAGTGCCCGCGCGTCCTCTCCGTACAAGGCGAGTGCGTCCTCGTCGCCCGCACACACACACACGCACTCGCTCGCACACACACACGCGCACGCTCTCAACAGACTGCAGCTCGGTGAGTACACACAGACACACACACACACAAACACACACACAAGACATGGGAATCTATCATTGAACATATTATCTTAGTCTGATTGTTTTGGTCACAATAACAGTAAATTCAATACATTTTGAAAGCTCTTTAATTACAATCTATTACTTAAAAGGATTTATGATTGATTTTATTGTTTTTTATTTGTATCGATTCGATAAAATATCCTTTTCTTCATTATACATTCGTACATGACACAAAAATATCTATATTTTCGTCTTATATACATATACTAAAAGAGCCGGCTAACTTCGTATCGCCTTATAATCGAGAAATATCTGTTACGTGTTTTTAATTATAATTTTTGGAGTTTACCTATTAAAGCCATAAATCTCCGTATTTTGAAGTGCGACAGAATGATTGACATTATTAGTTAGTTGTCAAATCTAATGTCAAAAAAAACCGTTTATATCAACAACTACTAATAAATTAAAAATAAATTAAAAAACCATTGTCCAGCGGACAAAATTGTGAATCTAAACAATTCCGAGATCCCCTGGAACACACACAAAATATTTGATCAAAATCGGTCCAGTCGTTTGAGAGAAGTTCAGTGACAAACACAATCACAGAAGAATTATATGTATATATAAAGATATATCGTCATACATGAACCATCTCTAGTATTAATATAAGTCTTCCTTTGTCCAGGTGGCGGCGTGTCTCACAGCTCGGACGAGCTGGAGCCGCTGACTCCGTCCAGGTCCAGCGAGCGGCTGCACCGGGAGATGCAGAACCTGGAGGGACTCATGAAGGACCTGTCCGCCATCACGCAGAACCAGTTCCACTGCTAGCTGACCCCTCGCCGCATATACACACTATTATAATAGAGACCAAGTTATATTGGAAGAGTTTAAAACGAGTACCACTCTTAGATGACCTCCCAAGACCTATCAAGGCTATATATAATGGAGACCAAGTTATATTGGATGAGTTTCAAAACCACTTTAACTGCTAGCGGACCCTCCACGCGATATCGAGACTATTTTAATGGAGACCAAGCTATGTTGGATGAATTTATTATTGATGACAAAACGAGTCCGCAAGATAGTGTATATAAACTGCGAATACTTCAGTGGAAAATAGATTACCGTAATGAATGATCGCTACTGTTTTGGAGATCATGTTATGCTGGCTACAATGAAATAAGAAACCCGACTCACTCCACTTGTGTTATTGACCCGATGGTTTTTACTAGTGGGATTCTATTTAAATTGGCTGGTCATTAATTTATTTCCAACAGAGTTCACTCTATGTTCGTTTTGACCTACTTTTTCTAGAGATACCATTTAAAGTCGGCCTGTAAGAAGCACTATATAAGGCTAAATATTTTTCGCTCTCCGCTGGTCTAAGTCCATGGCCTATGCGATTTTATAATTTTGTTCGTATTTTAAATCGACTTGATACAAATCTACAATTTTGTATTAATTTATAAAATACGTGTTCGTGTAATACTAGTCAGGTAGAGGGCGCTGTCGGATCAACTAACTGACAATTTATTACTAATTTTTACAAGATATCTACTGGATGAGCCAGGAAACCAGAATATAGCAAACTTTTTATTATAAAACAGTTGCAACGAAGCTTTTAAACGAATCTGAAAGTTTCTTAAACGAAAATACTAAAAAATACTGTTCGTCCTCTCGTCGGAACTGCACGAACTGTTTTGGACTTTATTATGATGGCGTAAGGTCGTATTTTAAATGACCGACAATTAATGTAAGGCCTCTCGGATGTTCTAGTACAGTTTTGCTTCAAGAAACTAAGACGTTTTCAAAGTCGGTATATATAAAGAACATCCGGAGTGATTGTAAATATTTTGTACCCTAACTCTTTAGACATAAGATTTATTATCGAATACATTTTGATATTGTTATTAAATTACATTTCGACGCTTTACCTCCGCGTCTGAGAACTGACGTGAAGCGATTTTGTAAATATCTCTAATATTTTTCTAATATGTAATATACAGAGTGCACCAAAAGTTTTATAGTATTTTGTTTGATGTTACGTCGAGTCGTATCGTATTGTATCAGTGCCATATCGAGAGCTGAGTGGCTGACTGTACGTCCCGTGACGTCACAGAGCCGTATGTTTAGTTTAGTTTTGAGTGATTTAAATTACGTGAGGCGCCATCTAGTGGGACCGAGGAAGGATTCCTCCGGCGCAGACCGACTTATTAGTTGTTAAGGGAACTTTAGACTGATTTTGTATTTGATTTTTTATTTTATATTTTGAAAATATTATTTTTTATCGTCACAAGTTTTATAAAAAATTGTTTAAGAAACTTCGGTAGCGCTTTTAATATAATAATTTTCACTGTAAAGATATTGTAACAATTTTATTGTATATTGTACGATTTTTTTGTAATTTTATATTTTATTCCATAACCAACGCCGTAGTGGTTGAACGCTTTGATATCGACGCTAGTATTTTTTCCGTGTCTTTGTCCCCTCTTATCACAAGTTTCGTGTAACTAAATACATACAGTATTCGTATAGTAAACGGGAAACTGTCTGTATTTAGTTCTTCGATGCGATCTCGTAGTAAACTTATTCCTCTTCCTCCATCTCCCGTATCAAAGCGTCCGACCTCACGGACACACGATCGCTGTTTCGTTCCCACCAGGAGACTGTTCGACTACTCTGTAACTTGTATTAAGACACTTAGACTAAATGTAAAGGAAGGGAGTCGCCGCTCTCTGTACAACTAGTTCAATAAACTTGTATTATTTATTGACAAACGATTGTTTCATTTGTAATGAGAGAAAGAAAACTAACAAGTCATCAAAATGAACCTTTATTTATGTACAATTTACATAAAATGACTTAAATAATAATATTAACACATATATTGAGTAATGAGGTGCGGGTAGAATGAAATTAGTGATACACAGGGTCCAACACATAGTCTAGACTCACTTTGGTTAACACAGAGACTGACATCCTACTGACATTCAGATTGGACGAAAAACATTCTAATACAATTGAAATTCATTTAAAATACTTACAATATATCATTTAGAATCATTTTAAAATACATATAATATTTTTGTAAAACACATCTATAAGATGAAAATTTGTATAGTTGCCGAAAGTTCAGAAATACATAATTAATTGAGCACGAACTATAATACTGTCATACAAATAAACATGCAGAGAATGACAGATAGTAAGGTACTAGTTAATAATACTAATAAAATAATTATTACAGTCTTCGAAATAATATTAATTAATACATGAATATTATCATCTTAGTGACTATTTATTTATTTATAATCCACGATAACACTTGATCTAACTCCGGGTCAGGATGTGTAGTCTTGAATGTTCCGTTTGTCTTGGAGTAGTATAGAGGGCGGTACTGAGGCTGCGGCTGGCTTGTGTCCAACCAGTATAACTCGACCTCTTTGGACACGAGCTGACGGAATGACTCCTCGTCCGGAATAGCTGAGAGGAGCTGGGAGATATAATAATATTAAGAATAAAACATAATTATTAAGTTTAGTTACAAGAAATAATATTTTTTGGATACATTACGCGACTTTATTGTTGATAAAAGTATATACTCACGACGTTTCGATTACTTTTCAGCAACCGTGATCACGAAGACGAGATGTCCCGTGAATAACATATAAAGTAGCGTGGTATATCCGTAAAATATTAGCTCCATTTAAATGAATAAGACTCGCGTAAATATTAGAACTCGTTTAGTTACAAGATTTAATCTATGTATAAGATACTTTACACACAATATAACTGATTTGAAGTGCTCATAAGGTTTGAAATGTAATATAATATATATATTAAAATGATATTTTAATTACATTACATATTAGAAATTCGCATATTTTTTGTATATTTTATACGAAATAGCAACATATAAGCTTTCACATCAAAATCCTACTAATATTATATTAGCGAAAATTTATGAGTGTGTATGTTTGTTACTTCTTCACGCTCAAACGGCTGATCTAATTTTGATAAAATTTTGTATACAGGAAGCTGACGTCCAAGAATAACACAGGTTACTTTACATCCCAGAAATGGGCGGGTAACACCGCGTGCGCAGCTGGTATATACATATTTATATATTATTAGTATGTATAAGTTCCTCACCCTGCTGTATAGTAGCGGGGCGGACGTGAGTCTCTTATAGAACATGAGGTTCATGAAGATGATGTCGGGTATCAATTCCAGGACCACTTTATTCGTTCTCCTCACTTCTTCAGCAGTCAGTCGTACATATTTTAGAGGGTTATCCGCTATTCTCTTAAAAGTATCCTTCCTTATTTTGATTATATTCAACCGCCTCCCGTGTCCCACATCAGCCAGGTTGCACAGATCACACTTTTTCGTCGAGCTACCCTCACATTTGCACACCCTATAATCGCCAACACCTTTCTTTCCTAATAACAGAACGTCCCCGGAAGTAGTCAGTTCTACTTCCGTCAAGCATTTAGTTTTGTCGGAACCGATGGTTCTGTAGGTAGGCTGGTCGCAGGGCAAGTTGACGTCCGTCAATATGATGTATTTGTTTAATAAACAAAGATGTTTCTTCTCTTTTTCCATTTTAATGAGAGGCGCCGACAGTATGTCGTAGTTCACGGTGTATTCTTCAAGACTCATCGTGATGTTTGGTGGAGCTTAAAAATATATTATCATCTTAATTAACATTAGAATACCAGCTTTTGTTATTTTAATAATATACATTATATAAGCCCTTATACGTTAAGTGTGTTCCTTGTGCTTTTTTAACTGCAATACAAGCTAAGTCTTTCCACCAACAAATACACATTTTTTTAAATGGATGTTGTAGAATACAGTATTATGAAGTGTTGATAGCAAAATATTAAACATGGCTAAATTGCTTCACTATACATAAATATTAGTGCTGTCTCTCCTAAAGAACCGATATTGATAAAACTTCAAGAGTAAAACGAAATTATGCCACTTGGTGTCTATCAATGCTTCTCATATTCATTATAAAAGAAAAATATTTTAAAATAATGAAAATTAAATACAACTTACATATCCAGGACAGTTTACTGAAATGTGGGGACATCACATGTTCAGTGTTCACCCCTGCCTCTACACGAAGGATAATAAGAAATATATGTTAATAATAATCGGAGGTAGTTTGTGAATTTTACTAATATTCGTTGGAATTTTGTTTATGTAATGAAAATATCTAAACCATCAAATCTCTACTTAATATTATTAATGCGAAAGTACATCTCTGTCTGTCTGTTACGCTTTCACGCCTAAACGACTGAACTGATTTTAATGAAATTTGGTACAGAGATGGAGTTGACCTTGAGAAAGAACATAGGATAGTTTTTATTCCAGACTTTTGAAAGGTTCTCTTGGAAACGCGATATAACCGAACTCCACGCGGGCGAAGCTGCGGGCGGAAAGCTAGTATAATACATGACATATGAGTAATCTAAGATTGTGGACTAATTCATTTGAAATCTCCTGATATTGATTAAAATCTTGCCTGAATTACGAAAAAGTCTGAAAAAATTGCTATTTACTTATATATATATTAGTAGTTTTCTACCAACCTGATACTTCTCTAGGTTTATCTTTCGTGACACTATCAACACTCGCGACTGGTACACTTGGTGGCTCATTCGTTAGATCGAGAATTGAAGTTTGTGGTGTCACGGCCGCAGGGTGTACTTGAACAACTAACTGACTAAAATTAGCTGGTGGACCATTATTATTTGGTACAGGGGTGTTATACACTATGTATAGAGGGTGAGTGTGAAGATTGATCGTGGGATACACGAATTTGTTTGAATCCTTTGATATGCTGTCTAAATTCAATTTGATAGTCTGACTCATTCTTTTGTCAGCCGGCTTGGGTACATCACTATCCACTATTTGCACATCACTATCACTGTCACTTATTAGTACAACGGACTCTTTTTTCGCGATGTTGTCTGTGTTCGTGCCGGTAGTTTTATTTTTCAAACTACCCTCAGTTGTGTTTTTCTTTTTAAGTCCGTTATCTTTACTCGGCTTATCGGTATTTTGAGTGTTGTTTGGTAACGTAAAGTATTTAAGGTTCATAGTTTTCTGTCTCTGCCACTCTTCGTAAGCGTCTCGTAACGGTTTTTCTTCGTCGTTTTGTTTTTCTTCTCGTTTTTTCCTTTTGTATTTCTTTTTCTGTTTTGTCTTCGTGTTATCTTTTATATCCTTATTGTTATCTTTCTGATAATCTTTCGTATCTTTAACACCTTCGTCTATCACCAAGTTCGGTTCGTCACTGTCATCATCATCACGTGTAGGACAGGTCGCTTCAATTTTTTCGTTATTAACACTATTTTGGTTATCATGATTGTTATTTTTTAATTTGTCCGTTTTCTTTATCATTTTCCTGTTTCTGATTCTCTTTCTACGTTTCTTTAGAAATGCCTTAAACTGTAAATAAATTTTTAATTTTTAATCTAAGTCAACTCTTATTAAATTAATTAAAAAGTATTTTTCTCTGAGAGACACGAATTTTCTACTAATATATAACTCATATGATTTTACTTCCGATTAAATATATTAAAATAACGTTTTTAATATTCTTAAATTATTACATGAATACTTGTAATTTCAGCAGAAAATATATCATATACTAAATATATACACAGAATAATATAGCAGTTATCATTTCATCCCTACTAATATTATAAATGCGAAAGTAACTCTGTCTGCTATGCTTTCACGCCTAAACCACTGAACTGATTTTAATGAAATTTTGTACAGAGATAGAGTTGACCTTGAGAAAGAACAGGATTGTTTTTAAGAATAGCTAAAAGCTAGTAGAATTATAAAGATTAGATAGATAAGTATTACAAAGACTCCTATGGGACTTTGACCTTTGTCAGAATAACTAAAATCATTCATGAAAATTAGTAAATTTTTACCAAACAATTGTTCTTACACGTATCAAAATGTCTTACCTGAGGCAGATACTCCGTCAACACTAGCATATTCCTCGTGAGCTCCTTCTTGTGTCTCGCCACTCTATATTCGTGTATTTTCCACAGTTTCGGTCGAAGTTTTGAATCGTCTTTGTATTTCAGAGTTTCGCATTTCGCGGCCAATTCTTTTACTAGAAGTTTCACGTCTTGAGGTTTAGGCAACATTTTCTTCTTGGACAGCGCCAATAGACTCTCTCTTAACTTGTGATCATCTATTAATGTTTCTTTTAAACATTGTATTATAGATTTTGTATTGTTAGGATTTTTATCGGATTTAGTTTTGTCTTGAGATGTTGTAGATGTATTTTGATCTACCGCAGTATCAGTGGAATTTAGAGCTGGTATTAAGAACATATCACTAATGATTTTCTTATTTAATTCACCAAGAACCGGTTTGTTTGTTATTGGGTTAGTTATGTTGTCATTGTTTTCTGATCTTATACTATCTATGATGGAATCCATGAAACTACTTTCGGTAGTGTTACTCGGTGTCGTAGTAGTTTTAGTTTCTTCTGTGTTAATTGTAGGTTGTGGTACTTCTGTCAGTAGTTTCCGTAATTCTGATACACTTGTATCTACTATGTTAGTAGTAGCTTGTTCGTGATTTTTGTCGGTTTGTTCATGAAAATTTTTCCCGGTTGAGTTCACTTCAGTAATTGGTAGTTCAAATGGGTGATGCTGAAATAAATATATTGATTTATCAAAATAACTTAGACATATTTCATAGCATATAACAATTTCATGAAAACCTTTATAATATCAATATTTAATTTGGCTAAGAATTGTATTTTCTAATAAAAGCTATAACAATTACCTCATTACAAGTCGCTGGTACAGGCAACTCACGAGCTGTCTTCAATATATTGTTAATATTTCGTATGTTCTTAATATCTGATAATTGAACTTTCTTCAATATTCTCAGTGGTTTTATATTTACATACATCAGCCTGCATTTCTTCAATAAATCAACATTTATTTCATTTCTCCAGAAGTCTTTACTATAATAAGTTCTTGATAATCTTAGTTTCTTTGTCAATTCTATCCTATCTCTCCTAGTTTGATATGGCATTTCTTGTAATTCATTATATTTTTCTTCAGTAATACTTTCTAATCCAAAATCTTCATATTTCACTCGATAATTATCATATTTATTTATTTCCTCTGGTTTATCTTTCATATATCGTCTGCATTTTGCTAATTCCTTTGAATCTAAATCAATTATTTTTGATACATTCTTCGTGCTAAATTTTCTACAACTTATTGTTCCATCTTTAGAATGTTTTTTCCACTCGTTGAAATGATCGATGGGTGTCAATATTATAATTGCCTCCTTGATTAGTTTATCGTCTGAAAACAAAATGAAAAATATTAAAGAAAGTTTCACTGTACATATAGCATTTTATTACTTATATACTTCTCCCTACACACACACATACATATATATTCCTACTAATATTATAAATATGAAAGTAACTCTGTCTGTCTGTCTGTTACGCTTTCACGCCTAAACCACTGAACTAATTTTAAAGAAATTTGGTACAGAGATAGAGTTGACCTTGAGAAAGATCATAGGTAGTTTTTATCCCAGACTTATGAAATGTTCTCTTGGAAACTTATCATAAAATTTCAATTTGTAATTAGTAATAAGTTTTATTATATCTAATATATTCTTTCTGCCTGTATGCCTGTATCAGCCTATCAGAAGCCCACTGCTGAGCAAGGCCTCTTTCTCACATGGAGAAGGTTTGAGCATTAATCACCACGCTTGCTCAAGACGGGTTGGTGATTTCAAACTTATAATTTGAAACTATAAGTCCAGGTTTCCTCACAATGTTTTCCTTCACCGTATGTTAGTGATGTCTAAATACTCTCAGAAAGTACATATGACTCCGAAAAATCACATTGGTACTTGCCAAGGCTTGAACCCGCGCCCTCGGCAACGAGAGGCGGGCCCCTTAACCACTAGGCCACCACTGACTTATATTCTTTCTATTTTACGATAAATCAAATTGTATGTTTTTATGTCTTTACTCCCGTAATATAAGAAAATATTTATATCACCTATACCTGGAGAACCTTCTCGTTTTACTTCCTCGGTACTAATCTCCATTGCCTCCTGTAAATCATCACTTTGACTTTTAATTTGTTCCTCACTTTTTATAACCACATTCTCAATTGTTCTCTCATTCACCGCAGCATCTTCATCATGAGTTATTCTCATATCTATATTCTCCATCAAATCGTATTCTTCTTTTATTTCTCTATCAATATTTTCAATCAGATCTAAATTCATATCATCATATTTATTCACATATTCGTTATTTTCCGTATCATTGATTATAACTTCACCATCGTCATCTGAATCTTCGAACTTTATCGTAACCTTAGCTTTACTTGGGTCTATTTTTTCCAATATCTCAGTAACTTCTATATTTTCATTATATATATTACCATTAGTATTTATAAGACTCAATTCGTTCTCATAGAACTCTTTTATGAAGTCCGCATCACCTGAAACATTATTTTATTCTATATTATGTATAGGCAGACCCTGGCTAAAGCTGGGAGGTTGCCAGGAAGAAGAAGAATTTAAAGTATATTATAATTTATATAACTTACTTAAATCTTCATTGATGTCCAGATTGATTTTGTCGTTTTGGAGCTGTGTATAAAATTTTTTTATATTAACTTAATTTTAAAGTTATTTAAAAGTACTAGACTATAGAGATGAGGTCTAAATAGTTCTAGTGCGTTTGATTTAAGCTGAGCTTTGCATTTGTGTGAGTGCACACGGATAGTGTACGTGTGATGTCAAATTTGTGAATGAAACATTCTTTTCTAGTTTTGAACTTTAAGTTTTCTAGTTTTATTCTGTTTTTATTCCGCCCCGCACCTTCCTCACTTCACCCTTTGTACTGGTAGCAACGTCAAATGTTGAAAACGCAATGTCAAGTGAAGAAGAATTTGTATAAATTTTTCAACAATTCTATGAATGTTTGTATTTTTTCCATAATATTTACATTTGTTCTTTTATAAGTTTTGCTTATTTTATTTTTAATACAGAATAGATCTAGCACTTATGTTATGTATCTATTTAAAATATAAAAAAATTGAATTCTAAAAGATTTTTGTCTAACTCTACTTTTAGTTTCACTCACACAAATGTAAAGCTCAGCTTAAGTCTAATGGACTATAATATATGTTAATTAAAATAATCAATTTACACATTCAATGAGTAGATCTTCTACATCCGATTCCTTCACGTACAACTTTTCCTTCACAATCTGTCTCCACGGTGGTAAATAATCCGTTATTATTTCTGGAAACCTAAACAAAGATAAAACATATATAATATATGGAAAATAAATAGTAAATAATATATTAAATATGGGTCTAATAGTATCTAAGTATGGCCAACTATGTAACATTTTTGTGGGCTACTCACATTTTTTTTACTTATTAATCCTTACCAATATTATGAATGCGAAAGTAACTCTGTCTGTCTGTCTGTTACGCTTTCACGACTAAACCACTGAACCGAATTTAATGAAATTTGGTACAGAGATAGAGTTGACCTTGAGAACGAACATAGGAAAGTTTTTATCCCAGACTTTTGAAAGGTTCTCTTGGAAACGCGGTATAACCGAACCCGAAGCTGCGGGCGGAAAGCTAGTTTTAAATGTTTTTAATGAGAAAATTTAATTTCTTTAAACCTAAATACTGAAAGTTTAGACTTATTTTCTGTCAATAATTTTGCGGGTAGTTTTATATTTACCTGTTGACTAGTAGTGGTAGGAGCGGATGAACTTTCATATCATTTTCTTTAGATTTCCACACATTGAGAATCGTGTTTCGAGCTAAATGAAGGAGCTCCAACCAACGACGCTGGAGATATATTATGGAGGCCGAACGACCACTGGAAGGATCAAGTTATACTGGTTAATAATTTTACTGACCTACTTTTGAATTACTGAACAGATTTTGATGAGACTCTAGTAAAACAAAATCGAGTTTCTTTATGAAAACTGTGTGAAAGATGTGTTTGTATGAACTCGTGGCCATGAAATTGTTTTAATTTTACTAAACTACTTTTTTAGTTACTGAACAGATTTTGATGAGACTAGTAAAACAAAAACGAGTTTCTTGATGAAAACTGTGTGAAACATGTATTGTATTGTATGGCCAGACTATTTTTAAGCAAAAATATTAATTTTACTCAACACAATTTCTGAATATATATTATTTAATTTAACTTCTCTTCTTAGGACAATTCCTATATACATACAGATTATAATGAGATGTAAGACTTTCGCGAGTATTAATTTAAATTAAACTAATATTTTTGGGATTACTACGAGTATTCTATTGTAAAAACTATATACTATCGATGTTTTCGGTAACCGAAATGGAGGAGTATGTACGGTTAAAAATACTTTATTTCTCAAAAAGCTATTACATTTCACTAACTTGACAAAATTATGACTATAAACATATTTTAATTAAATTTCGACAATCATAGTAAATGTATCACTAGGTACATAGTTTAACATATTCTTAGAATAAATTTTGCTTTAAACAAGAAATTTAAAACATGCCCTCAAAGCAACAATAATTGTGTACAAAACAGCGATAAGAAATGTATGCTATTTTTACAATAATAAAACAAGCTCAGTATAATCCGAAAAATATAAGTTTCATATACATACCGGTTAATGAACCCAGTGTAAACCAGTGCCCACACAACTTTCTGTTCCTCGGGTTTTCCGTACCAGTTGTTTTCGTCTATACCTTCCACCTTTAAAAGTATCGTTGAAACATCTTTAGAGTTATTTGTTTCTGATTCATTTTTTTCATTTTCCATATCAATACTTTTATTATGATTTATTTTTGGTACATTCTCATTTTTTTCTGTCACATCTGTAACCTCTTGACTGGGTTTACTTTTATTCAAATCATCCAATACTTTTTCTGTATCGTTTTCACTTTTATCTTTATCATTATTTTCATCCTTTTCGGCGTTTCCAATTTTATTAACTTGTAATTCTTGGGAATAAAGAGTTCTAGCAGCAACCATTAGTTTGTAGAGAAGAATCAGCGAGCTGTGATTCCGTCCGGTCGAAAAGTTTGACTGTGACTAAAAAAAGGATATTCAAGTAAATATTTTCGATGTAATGTATATAAAAGTTTATGAAAACTCACCAAATGTATGAGTTTTAATTCATGAGAGTACAGAAGTATGAGGTCAGTGACCTTCCACTCTTGATGATTTAGCCTGAGTGTTCCCGGTACATCGTGGAGATGACTGCTCAAATTTAGTAGCGCTTTCAACTTTAGCAAACACAAGTTGTAGATGCCTTGCCTTGGAGCAAAAAAAAAATACAAAAAATAATCCACCGATGATCTTTCGGGAAGAAATATTAAAATAGAATATATGGAATGGAAAATTCATTGAAAAGTGCTAGTCTAGTACAGGTTTTATGCTAGAAAAGTATTTTTACACAATTAACAGTATTACTGCTGTGATAGAATAATCTAGAACAAACTAATTAATCATTCATAATCTAGTGAGAGAATTTTTGGAATATAACAATTTACGCCAAAAAATTAATAAAAAATACTAGCTGCGCCCTGCGGTGTTACCCGCGGATTTCCGGGATGTAAAGTAGCCTATGTGTCATTCCTGAACATCAGCTTCCTGTATACAAAATTTTAACAAAATCGGTTCAGCTGTTTTAGCGTGAAGAAGTAACAAACATACACACACACTGACAAACTTTCGCAATTATAATAATACATAGTAGGATTACGTTTTACCATCCATCATCATAGTGTTATGATTATATTATATTGCTTGTGCAATTATTTTAAGCACATGGAGTTGTGTAACTCACCACACTGATAAAACATCAGCTACCCTCACTCCATATTTCTTTGCGAAGTATTTCACAGCACATGGTCCTTTCAATCTTTGTATCTTCTTGCCGTAGCTAACTTCAAGAGAGAGTTCCACACTGGTCAACAATTCCTGGATCAAGACTTCCGGTTCATGGCACTTAGTTACTGTTTTATGTTGGTCATTCTGAAACAATATATATTGAAAGAATTTCGATTAACGATAAGTCATTGTGGCGTAGAGGTTAGCCTCTCGTTCATGAGGGGCGGGTTTGAAACCTGGGTAGTACCAGTGTGATGTTCGATTAATATTGGGTACATGTTGAATATTTTACAAATGTATTTATAATTATAAAGTCAGAATTAATATTAATAGAAGGTGCATCTACCCATAATTTATAATATTGGTTTGACAAAAAAGATATGTTATGAGGTTGAGTAATACTATTCATAAGAATTATTATAGTCCAGTATATGGTAAATCCCTGGGCTGATATACCATAGTTATTTTCTGATGGACAAAACATATATAATAGCTCTACGGTATATATAAATATATCTTTTAGCTTATACCATTGGTCAATTCTCACATACAAGTAAATAGAAACTCACTTTATATATAGTTTAAGGTCTATTTTAAAATATGTTACAGGAAATATTGTAATTAAGATAAAATAAATACTAAAACACAAATTCTGTTGGCAAAATTGAACCAGATAGTCTAAATATGTTTAAATGTACTGTAGAATAATACTAACAAAATATAAAATAATATGCAGAGTATACTGTAAAGAACTATACATATATGAGTACTAATTGTTTATGAAAAACAGGACACTTTAGGTATGTAGTTTGAAAATACAAACTATTGGTAGTCTTAATGTATATAGTAATTATGGAGTGGCATATAGTGTGATAACCACTGAATAAAGAAGGAAAACTCGAAACCAAACCCTATGAAAACCCTCCAAAGGCCAAAAACCTTGTTATGGCACTACAAAACCGAAAATAGCACCCAGTTTATGGTTAAATTGGCTAAATAAATGTATATAGTGTGATAATATATATATATATGTTATATGTTACCTGTTTTATCTTCTCAAACATATCAGACTTCATCATCAAATACAGCAGCCATTTGGGCAACTGCTGTTTCGGACTTTCAGACACACTGGAACCTGACTGTGAAGAAAACATATAAATAACAAAACATCCCTACTAATATTATAAATGCGCAGGTAACTCTGTCTGTCTGTATGTTACGCTTTGACGCCTAAACCACTGAACTGATTTTAATGAAATTTGGTACAGACATAGAGTTGACCTTGAGAAAGAACATAGGATACTTTTTATCTCAGACTTTTGAAAGGTTCTCTTGGAAACGCGATATAAAGGAACTCCACGCAGACGAAGCTGCAGGCGGAAAGCTAGTTTATAAATAAATTTACAAACATATATTTATGTTGTTGAGGCAAATTATATATATAAATTAGTTAATGCATTATTAACAAATTTTTTGGTCAAATCACAATATCTTTGTAAAATAAGCTAAATTGCAATACTTCATAAAAGTCTATAAGGTTTTGAGAACAAGTTATAAATTGTTTTTTTTATACTTAATTTTGAATCTACATGGAATTTTATTTTAATTGCAATATGTGGTTAGACAGGAGCCTCAAGCAGTCATCTTATAACATATGGATGACAAATTGATAACTTTAAAAATGATCGTACATGATTGAGTGGCTTAAATATAAGCTTAGACATATATATTAATATATTGTACGTTATCTGAATGTGTCAATTATTTTACAGTTACCGAGATCATGGACGGAAAGTGTCTGTTACTTAGTCTTGCTATTTATTCATTTACCGATAAAAAAAAATTAAATATATAATAGTTTTACATCATCATACATCACCGTACCACATTATATTTCTTTGTGAATGTCTTCTTCAACATGTCGAAGCAAACATTTGGGAAATCCTTTAACAGTTCAATCACCATGTCCACCGTCAAGTTGAGTTTGTATGCAATACTCTTGTATGCTTTTTTCTTTGCAAACTGAAACAATGAAATGGAATAGTTTTTTTTAAATGTAAATAAATTGCTTGTACGATTATTTTAAAACCATGGAATTTTGTTGTTAAATATAATTTGATTAAAAATTTCAATTAAAAATTAAAATATTTATATTAAGATCAAAAACACATATCTTCCTTTATTGTTTGCTTAAAGGTCTGTAATTTCGTTTTTCACAAGGAAATTTACTTTTTTTTAACTTTATGATTATTTAAGAAACCATGAATAGAAAAATTTTATCCTTCACCTTAAGTTGATTTGGGTCCATAAGTAAGTATGATTGCCAAAGCACTTCATGTTTCTTGAATTCTTTTCCGAAATCATCAATAAACTTGGTTGACAAGAAATTCTTAAAATCATAATGTGCCATTTTTATTGTTGTGTTAAACAGAATTGTAAGGTTTTGTTAAAAACGTACGATATTGTCAAAGGTAGCATTTGATATCGACTAAAAAAAACACGGTGTAAATATTGTTAAATAATATCATTTTGAATTATCTTAGAAAATCCCTAATGTTGACAAAGGAAACATTTGTTCAAAAACCATCAAACTATTTTTATAAAGAAATCTTTATTTATTAAGCTAACAATACAAAAATTAAATTAACATTACGATTTTTAAGAAATATGGCAATAAATATTGTTAAAAATTAAATGTTGGAGCGAAGCGTCACTAACAACAATGACATAAGGCATTAAGAACTCTGACATTTAATATGCTAAATAAAAAAAAGGTTTTCAGATTTTGCACTGAATTCTAGTCTTTTATCAGTGTTTATTTATAATTATATTTCTGTTTATAATTTATATTTAAATTTTTTAACTCGATGTTTAGTTATATTCTACATTTTACATGATTTAAGGAGGTATTAACGTATTCTTAATAATAAATCCATGCAATGCTTGTGGCTGACCCCTTTTTGATACTGGGAATAGCAAATTCTATTCCTGTCTACGCATTTTTCAGAATTTTGTAACAAAAATCATAACTGGGTTTTTATCAATTCGGGGTTTGTATTTAGTTTATCCAAATATATGTAGATATAAAATAAAAACGATAAAAATATATTTCTGATTATTCTCAGTGCAGAATTTTTAATAATTGTAAAATTCATCTAATGTTATGTGTTAAGGCGTAGAATGGCATCAAACTACTAGGATACGATAAAAATTTTAAATATCCACTATTTGCTATTTCTAGACAATATAGGTTTCGAAGTGTAAACATTAAGATATACCTAACTTGTAAACTGAAACGCTGGCTACATCTACATCTTTGTAAATTATATTATATCTTAAAAGAAAGGTATCCTAGGCAATTAGATAGTAGAAATTAAATCAGGCTGGAAAAAACTAGAAGCATATGTTAAAAAGGTAGGAGGAAAACTTGCTTCAAGCTAAAGATAAGGGAATAATAAACATGGCAGCTTCTGGGGAGGATTGTGTCTTAAAAGAGTAAGATAAAACAATGACAAGAGAAACAAAAATGCAATGATTTTCATTATAAAGTATATACTTATAAGAGGAAAGTCGATTTTGAGTCAAACATAGAGTTCTGGAACAGTTCTTCACTAAAAATATGATTCAGATTTGTATTCAGACGTTACAGAAACAAAGAATTGGCGATACTAAAAATGAAAGTACTAATGAACATTATCTAATATAACCTTACTATATCTGGTTACCGAGCTTTGCTCGGTTTTTCGGAAATATTACTATATATTTTGTTTTTTTTTTTTTAATTTCGTTTAGGCATTTTAAGTGAATACGTTAAGAAGACACAAAACAATATAAATCAACAATTAATTTCTTTGTCTAACGTCAAAACAAACGATCATTGACTTTCTGTTCATAAACAACGCCATCTGCTGTTGTGCTCTTAAAGCAATTAGTAAAAACAATTAGATTAATTAACAAGTAGTATTATTATTCATCGATAGATGTCAGGAAGAGTCATATTTTAAACGCCTCCTTTTTGTATTTTTTTTTCATAAAATTACATTTTCTAAAAATGATTCCTAGCTAGTTCGATTCATCGCCCCTGAAACCCCATATATGTATTCTAAATTACATGAAAATAGTTGGAGCTTATTCCGAGATTCCAAGAATTACGAGAATTGCACATTTAAATTTTGAAAAAAGTATACAAAATCTTATTCACTTGACATTGCGTTTTCAACATTTGATTTGCTATCAGTATAAAGGGCGAAGTGCGGAAAGTGCGGGGCGGAGTAAAATCAGTATAAACCGGTTCAAAAATAGAAAAGAACTTGGCATTCAAAAATTTGACATCACACCTACACTATCCGTGTGTATTCACACAAATGCAAAGCTCAGCTTAAATCAAACGCACTAGAAGTATGGCCGGCGAGTCAGAAGGACCTCCACTCCTTTTTTGTTTTGTTAAACGCACCCCCCCCCCCCCCCTGCCTTCGAGGGCTCAGTCCAAGTGACCAGGACCGTCCTTGTAACTTTAATAAAATGTACATTAGAGGGGGAATTCTGTGCCTAGAGTTAAGTTTAACTACAGCAATTAACGGCCGATATTATATAATATTTTGGAATCAATATAACAACTATTATGTTATGTTTTGTTATATACTGATAATGTTTTTATGTTACTAGGTCCATGTTCCAGTAGATCTAAAACCTCAGAAGCGTCAGCATTTAAACTTCTTCGTATCAACGATGAAAAGATAAAATCGATAAAAATTCATTTAGAATTATTATGAAGGAACTAAAATACTTTAATATTATTAAAGAACTGCATCTGTAAGGTTTCCTCGCATAAATAGTGGGTTCTGCTTCAGTTTCTGATTGCCTTGCAGCTTATTTATATTTTATATTAGACTAGTGTTTGTTCCCGACATTTTCTGCTTTGTTTTCTATATTTTATTAAGATAGAACTATTATATTTATTGTTTTAGACAGGTTAAACGACCAGAGCGACATCTACCGTCTGTAATATGTGACTTTATACACAACTGTAAATTGTAATCATGTGTTCGTACAAATTACTTTAAATTAATAAGAAATTATAGCCTATATTTTGTTCTATATAATTGAAAAGTTTCATTAAAATCGTTTCTTCATTTTAGTACATACGTGAAAGAGCAAAAACATGTAAAAACATTTATATACATATATATTATAGAATATACTCTAATACAAGACTACATACGAAAAGTTTGGGACAGGCGATTTTCAAAAAAAAAACTGTCAAAGTTATTATAAAATATGTATGTTTCGGATTCTGTAAAACTCTTTTTTGTTTATAATTGTAATTAAACAGATAGTAGATGTTATATCTATTTATTTATTTAGATTTTTCTGAAAGGTACAGATTTTAAAAATTTAAAATATAAAAGTAATGTAGTTTTAATTTGAATTAATAGTTTTATGTTCGACATTCTCTTTATATGTATATATTTCAAAATGGATATATATATTTTCTCAAATATTATTAATAATTTATCAATATTCATTCAATCTAATTATAATATTTTGTTTGTTATTTTATTTATGTTTCCGCCAAGTAATTATTATTCATTAAAAAAGTTTCGCAACCTTTGTGTTATAGAATATTATAAACGGCACAGATAATAATAAAATTTAGCATAATGTTGTAGCGGTCAAATGTTAAGGAGGTTTAATTTAGATGTTTTGATTTTAATATAATAAGTATTAATATTTTTGTAAAATTAAAATGTATATTATTTTTGATAGATAGGTAAAATATTTTATTTTAATTTAATCTTCTTGCTGCATGATATAGTTTTTGTAGTTTCTAAATGTATATTGTTACGAATTAAATTAGTTTTTCATTCAGTAGGTACTTGTATATTATAATCTACATTTAACTGAGAGTCTTCTTCTACCTGGTAATTTCCCAGCTTTAGCCAGGGTCTGCTTTGCATGATGTGAATAGTTTTGACTAATTGTTTCTACGACCGGCCGCCTGCCTGACATCAATCCTCTTTGGAAATGCATTAATTAGTGATGTCTAAATACTCTTAGAAAGTACATATGACTCGGAAAAATCACATTGGTACTTGCCAGGATCGAACAAGCGCCCTCGTGCATGAGAGGCGGGCCTTTAACCACTAGGACACCACTGACTACATTTAATTGAGATTATAAATTTATATTATTGTCCAAGAAGATTCAATAAATTTTATAAACGATGACAAATATAATACTTTAAAAATGTGTACATTGAATCTCTTCAGTCTTAAGCTATAAAAGGTTAATTGATAACATTTTAAAACAATTATAATATCTTTTTTTTATACTATATCTTCATTCACACTGTAATCGTGGTATATTTTGCTAATGTTAATGTTTTTATTTGTTGGACGAAATATAATCTTGACTACTGCGTGGAGACACGAAGGAGTTTTACATATAATAAGTTTTATTATCTGAAATTATATATACAAAAATTTATACAGGGTGACTGGTGAATTACTATCAATATTTAAAGAGCATACTCGGTACATGATTCTCATTCAAATTATGTAAAAAAAATAGGTACTTAATTTTTGACCAAATTTCCGTATAAATAAATAAAGTGTGTACACGTTCCAAGTGTGGACGCGTGCGGCGGCGTGCTGATACAACAACACGCCGCCGCGCGCGAGTGTGTGTGTACCTAATACCTAATCTGTAGGGTGTTCACACGAGGCGTAATTAATTACATAACTTTTGGTTAACTTTACTTAGAAGTTTATTAATATTTATGTTATATTAATTTTTATTTTGTCATATATGATCGTCAAATATCACGTCCTCAAATATTGATAGTAATTCACTGATTTAGATTTAGATTAATATAATAGAGGATTAATTTTATTTCTACTGATAAATTTATTATAATTTTTAGTGAGTTATGTGGGAGATTTATGATTTAATGAGATCTAATATTTTCGCGAGTATTCATTTAAATGAAACTAATATTATTTTGACTACTAGGCGTATTTTATTATTTTTAAACTACATACTCCCGACATCTCGTCTGTCCGTGATCACGGTTGCTGTAAAGTTATTAGTAAAATAAGAAACTCGTAGTAATCCGAATATATTTGTTTCATTTAAAGTTATGATTTGTAACGAATTTAGGTCTTAGGACAAAAGTATGTCTAGTGAAAGCTTTACAGCTTATAATCAGCGATATATTGTATGTATTATTAACAAATATTTCTGAGTTTAAAACTCAAAATGTTCAGTATATAATACACTTCATCATCAGCCTATCAGAGCCCACTGCTGAGCAAAGGCCTCTCTCACGTGGAGAAGGTTTGAGCATTAATCACCACACTTGCTCAAGACGGGTTGGTGATTTCAAACTTATAATTTGATATTATAAGTCCAGGTTTCCTCACGATGTTTTCCTTCATCAGTCAGTGGTGTCTAAATACTCTTAGAAAGTGCACTTATCACAAGTTTATTCATCACACTACACAGACTAATGTATGTCAATAGTTTGATATTTATAAATCATTGGGCATATTATATTTTTAGTATTATAACTTAGTTTATTTAACGAGAAACATGTATTAAGTTAAGTGATATATACGTTCTGAAATAAACAAATTAAATATAGATTTAAATGAAAAAAATACGATCCATAAAAAATAATATTTAAAATATTTACAGCTAATATTAAGAATGGTGTAAGAAAACAAATATTAATTTATTATTTATAATCTTCTTCAAAAATAGTCAAAATGAAAAATTACTTCAAATGTTTTGTAACTTGTAATAAAATGTTAAGAATATTAAAAAATGAACTCAAAAAAGAAGTAATTATAGATTTTATTTGCTGCATGACCATATTAAAGGTGTGTAAAATTATTCAATTGAAATAAATATGTTGCAAAACAGAATTTAATATTGAGATAATCCTCTCATCATTCAATGTATTCACGGTGCGTGTGCCGGGTCCATCGTTGTAGTGAGAGGAGCTTCAACAGTGACTGGGACTTGTGACCAAGGTGTAGGTTTAAGGGGCCACTATCTAACGCGTTAAACGCTCACCTCCACCGTCAAAGCTCCTCTCATTATTATTTCTTACCGTCTTCCTGATGAAGGATGGAGTTGTTTCAGGAGTATTATCTTTCATACTACACGAAAACATTTTCACAGGATGTATCAGAACGAAATATTTAGTCGTGATGTCACTTAAAACATAACAGCTTCAAGATATTAAAAAGTATATATATAAAAGGATATTTGCTATTGAAAATAAAAATATACAAGAAGTCATTAGAAAATACTTTCATATAAGTATATAATTAAATATATATATTATATAAATACAAATATATACGTATATACATTGTAAAGTGGGCGTCGTACTAGATAAGGCAAATGTCTAAAGAGTGTACGTCATTTGAGTCCTGGCCGCCGTTGGACACAGGTGAGTCTGTAATATTTATATATATACATATATATATATGTTAAAATATATAGTATATATTTATGAGCTTATTTCCCTTATAATCCTTGTAATATTTCCAATAATATCCCATTTATATATACATATATAACACACTATTTAAAAGGATATATATTATATTTACTACACACAAAATATATGATATTTTAATATATTATATAAAAGATTTTTTAATGAAAATCTTGTAGATAATTAACTTTACAAGTAAAGTTTTTTTTAAATACGTGATACTTTAGAATGAGTTTAAATAAATACATTTTAAAAACAAGTTTGATCGTTATTTTTTATAGTTATTAAATATTTTTCAAGTATAAGTAGTTAGTTTTTAAATAACATATGTAAGATATTTTTCTAATATCTGCCTTGCGTTGAAGTCTCTGATATGTTAGATAGATTCTCATTCTGATAATTGCGATTTTATATTTAAGTTATTTGATAAATTCTCATATTTGTTATTTTTGTTATATTGTAATATAGAATTTGTTATTATTTAAGCTTTTAGACAAAATAGATTTGGTTATTGTAAATTATTGATGAATATCTTCCATATTTAAGACGGAATTAAGATATCTGATTTATGCTTGGTTCTGTAGTTAATTATTTTGTAGTTTTTATTAAAAGCACAAACATATTATGATATTTATATTAAATATTTCTTTTTTAATCAAGAAGCAGTCAATGCTTTTATTGGTAATTTAATTCAATTATATGAAAACGATTTTGATCAATTTCCTTAAACTCTATTCATGGGAGTCATCATTTTGTGGTATTTATGTGTAGGTGGCTACTTTAGAACCTGTAAAGTATTTAAATAAATTTGTAGTTTTTTTAGCTTAAAAAAAATATGGATTTTTTTTACATTAATTTTAACAGATATACAGGTAGTGTGTATTATATATAATTATTACAATGGTAATATTAGCTATTTTATATACATTTTGATTTTCTTTTAATAAGTAGTTTTTCTTGGGATACAACGCTTTTTAGAGATAGTGTCCTTTCATAGACTAGAGAGAACATATATTCAGAGAAAAATTGTGAATAAAGACGTTAAACTTTCAGTGTTTCGTTTAATAGAACAAACGCTTAGTAATACTTACGGTTTTACGTTTTTCATGATAAATTCTCGAGTATCCTTAAACTAGCTTTCCAGCCTCAAAAAGGATTTACGTTTTCTTTTTTTTATAACATTATTAATTTAAATTCTGCTCTCATCGTATTTATTTAGAAAATTCCTTATAAAATAACTTCTAATTAAGAGAAATTATTATTAAAATCGTTCAAGTAGTTAGTCAGTTTAGAGATTTCAAACAAACACATGTCTTTGATTCCGTATATATATAAAATTTATAACAATTCACAGCTCACATCTCGTCTGTCCGTGATCACGGTTGCTGTAAAGTAACCGAAACTTCACGAGTATGTAGTTTAAAATAATAAAATACGCGTAGTAATCCGAATAATATTAATTTCATTTAACGATAATTTAACAGTAGACAATATTTTTTAAATATGTACAGATACTGGTTATAATTTATTCTTATTATTCACATAAAAACATATAAAAACCTTAAATATAAATAACCATTGTTACTCCAAATCATATAAGCTATGTACTAGTGAAATTCCCAACAAAATCGGTGCAGTAATCACCGAGTTTAGTCGGAACAAACAGACAGACAGATATATCAGTATATGTATATAGTTCGATTTGATCGTTGCTTAGCTCTAATAACTTGGACAGAATCACCGGGAGGGTATATGTACATATTAGCCAGGGTCTGCCTTACATGTTGTGAATAGTTTTGACTAATTGTTTTTACGACCGGCCGCCTGCCTGTGCCTGCCATCAACCCTCTTTGAGAATGCATTAATCAGTGATGTCTAAATACTCTTACAAAGTACATATGACTCGGAAAAATGACATTGGTATTTGCCAGGATCGTACCCGCGCCCTCATGTATGAGAGGCGGGCCTTTTAACCACTAGGCCACCACTGACTATCTATATAGACTATAAATGATCAAAAAAGTGTTTATTATACTACAATAAAGATATGATATTATTTTCTTCACCTGTATATACAGCATCTTCATCTTAAGACAAAAAATTCTCTGTCAAATGTATATCTAACAACAAGACAATTCAGTCAGGATGTTCACAGGAAGTTGGCTTTCCTTACTGTATTTACTTTCAATATTTACGAGAAAATACTATTTTTCTTTCTTACCTTTTCTTAGTATCTTTTATAGTTTTTTAACAATAATTTCGAAGAATTTTCTTTTTATACCAGCTTTCAGCCCGCAGTTTCGCCCGCGTCTAGTTCGGTTATAGGTATCGCGTTTCCAAGAGTACCTTTCAAAAGTCTGAGATAAAAACTATCCTATGTTCTTTCTCAAGGTCAACTCTATCTCTGGACCAAATTTCAATAAAATCAGTTCAGTGGTTTAGGCGTGAAAGCGTAACAGACAAACAGAGTTACTTTCGCATTAATAATATTAGTAGGGATTTATTGATTTAGAAAAATATATAGAATTAAGAAAAGTATTTTTGTATTTTTCTTATGTTTGTTCTTGTTTAATACTACACGTGACTTTTATATTTATAAAGTAATAGTTATATTATTTTAACTTACTTTTTTATTTTAAACCAAATATCGAACATCAATTTAAATGTTTCAAAGTTAATTGTTAAATTTCAAAGGTTTTCGTTCCACTGTTTTTTTATATCTGCATCCCCAAATTGCTTTTCTGTAATTGGTTTTGTGTTTCAGTTAAATATTTATTATTGAGTAAAATATTTGTACATCCTTCCTTTATAAAACAAAAGGATGATTTATTAAGTCTTCAAAATCACGGTATTAATGGACATTTAAATTATTTTTAGAAAGAAGTATATAAATTATAAAGAGATCTCGAGTTTTGTTCTTTTAAATGAAACTACTATTTTTCGGATACTACGCGTAGTTCTACTACAATAAAACATGCGTAGTATATCGTAAAAATATTAGTTTTATTTAAAATAATACAAATTTAAAGTAATAAAATATAAATATATATAGCTTATTCTTCTTCTTCCACCTGGCAATTTCCCAGCTTTAGCCAGGGTTACATGTTTGTTAATAGTTTTGGGTAATTGTTTCTACGACCGGCCGCCTGCCTAACATCAAACCTCTTTGGGAATGCATTAATCAGTGATATCTAAATCCTCTTAGAAAGTACAAATGACTCGGAAAAATCACATTGGTACTTGCCAGGATCGAACCCGAGCCCTCATACATGAAAGGCGGGCCTTTTAACTATTAGGCCACCACTGACTATAATATGTAATATATATATCTCTACCTAATTAATTATACTTGTTTATGCTGTTCAAATTATTATGCATTATTTAATACTAGAGATCCTTCTGATTCTAATGAAGTCATGAAGTTCCCTAATCTGTTATTTAAAACAGGGCACGTATTAATTATGTTTTGTTTGTATTAAAAGTTAATTCAGTAAAATAAGCTGACCGCTATGCTAATGGCTGAACTTGCTTCGGACTATACGAGGTATTTTTTTCTTGTTTTGTTTATAATATGTATGTATAATTATAGAATTTATATTATATTTAATTTGTGTTTAGTTTGCGTGATAAAATATTAGTGTCTTAATTGTTAGCATACAACTACACGGGTCTAATAAAGGAAATATTAATCAAGAGTATTATTTTGAATGATTCAAACTACAAAAAAGCCGTCAATACATGAATATTTTCACTTTATACATAGTATTAAGGTGATACGCGTCGTACGTAGTAACGATGCAGACATTTGTCAAGCGTACACATTTATTAAACTAGACTATCTTCTGATAAGATTTTCTAAAATTCTGTATGAGATCAACCAATATGTTTTATAATTATCTTATATATAAAATTTTCATGTCGCGGTGTTAGACAGAGAACTCCTCCGAAAGGACTGGAACGATTTTGATGAAATTTTGTGAGCATATTGAGTAGCTCTGAGAATTGGACAACATCTATTTTTCATACCCCCAAGTCATAAGGGTTGTTCACCCTTAATAATTTTTTTCGGACGAAAAATTTTCTTTTTCTTTTTTATAATGTAGCATAATCCAAAATTTTAACTTTTTTATCACCATCCTCTATTTTTTATATGGCAAAACAACGTTTGCCGGGTCAGCTAGTTATATATTATAAATCACATATATGTAACGAGCAAATAAAAATTACTATTCAGTTAAAAAACAGAAGAATTTACTCACACACACACACACACACACACACACACACACACACACACACACACACACACACATACACACTCTATCTCTCTCTCACACACAATGCATTCACAATAAATAACTATGTATCTTCTTCTTCTACCTGGCAATTTCCCGACTATAGCCAGAGTCTGCCTTACATGTTGTGAATAGTTTTGGCTAATTGTTTTTACGACCGGTCGCCTGCCTGACATCAACCCTCTTTTGGGAATCAGCATTAATCAGTGATGTCTAAATATTCTTAGAAAGTACATATGACTCAGAAAAATCACATTGGTACTTGCCCGGGCCAGGGATCGAACCCGCGCTCTTGGCCACGAGAGGCGGGCCCTCTAACCATTAGGCCACCACTTACTAATAAACTATTAATATAACTATGTATATTCATGTAATGCTCATGTTTGTTTAGATACTGGTGTGTCTCCGAGTCTACCCTCGATCATGTGGCGTGGTCTGTGCGCTACGCTGTTCTGCGCTGTACTCATCAGCGCTGACTCTTTCAAACGGGCCGAGAGTGAGTATATTATAGAAATAGGAGCAGCATTTCTTGGTTAATTAAGATTATAACTAAAGGGAAAGGGAAATTGTTAATTACTCCTAAAATAACTTTTTGTAATCATTTGAACATTTAGATCAGTAGAACATTTTATACGAGGTCAGTAATCTAGTTCTAGTATAACCGTTCCTGGAGTAATGGAATGCAACCTATGACCAGAGTCATGTTTCCAGCTTTTCATACACTGAATCCAGCACATGGAAATTCCGAAAGCAACAATTGATTGTCTGACCAATTGAATGTAGTCTTAAAGCTATTTTGAGAATACTTTGTTGTCTTTTAATCCTACTCTCTTGTTTTGTCAACACTTCATCAAGCTTAGACTTTCTAAATCAGACTTTTCCAAAGTGATCGATAACCTTCCTCCGATTCTCTTCTGTGAGTGCTTAGACCCAAACCAGGCGGTAAGAAACCCAGAGAAAATTGAGGTGTTGTAAAGATACCAGGTCGAGATTCGTAATTTCATTTAGCTCGAATAAGTTATAGTTGTTTTTCAATAGGTGTCGAAATGGAGGCGCTAAAAAAATATTAATTTATACTCAAAGTGGGCACAATACACAATAAAACTCCGAATCAGTGCTCTAAGTAATGATAATTTAACAAAGAATTTGAATTAATAAACAATGAATATAATAAAATTAAAATCAAATATATGAGAAGTCTAATAAATAACTTCGTCCAAATAAGATTTATTAATCATTATTATATGTATATTTCTATTATTTTACTCCTTACTCTCAGTGTCTCCGTCGCCTTTCGTGCTGAGCTCACGTTACGGTCGTTCTCCCCAACGTATGATGGCACCAAGAAACGACAGGTAATTATATATGTATTACTATATATCTTACCACAAGTTTTACGTTTCCAAATATGAAGACTTCTGTTTTTCAATACTTAATCATTGCATATGATAGCATGAAAAATTTGCATTAAATTTCGTTCCATTATTTCATATCCTTACAACAGGTTTGACTTTTCATACTATGTACATAGAGTTTTCAGTTGCTCATTAATACTATAATGTAGATAAAAAAATGGGAATTCTTCTTATAAAATTGCAATGTCAATTGTAGTACTTATTGTAAGATTATTGTAATGTAAAATTATTATTTGATTTGCTTAATTATTATTATTGTAAATCATTTATTTCTTTTATTTCAAATCACTCATATTAATACAAATATTTTTTAATACTATTATACAATATTCTAAGAACATCGCGATGCATTGCATCGTTTTAAACTTAATACCGTCAGTTTTGGCGTCCATTCAATAATAATAGTAAGTTAGCTCAACGCTCAAACTACATAAAATTGCGACGCCTTTTTAGGTTTATAAAAAACTCATTAAACAAAATTACAAATGAATTGTTAAGAAAAAATAATTTTCTGTGTAGTATGTATCGTCTACTTAATTATTAATATTATTTTAATTTGTTTAAATATACTCAGACTATATGAGTCTAGATGAGTCTAGAAATAAGTCTAGAAATAAATAACATATGAGTCTAGAAACATACTTTTTGGTTGTTTTCGTCTAAAACTTCCATGGGACACACCCACGTCTATGTATTTTAAACGACATAAAGATTGAACCATTTAAGTTTAACGTCACCCAAAATAGCGTCATCCAAATCAAATAAAACGAACCATAATATAGTTATTGTCTATTAAATTCTACGACTCGATGTGAATTTTCATTGTCTATGTCTTGAAATCTCAAATTTAGGTTAGCATTTTTGTTCTTAAAGCTGTTTTTTGGTAATTTTAAGAAGATTTTAAGTAACTTGATTTGTATATAAAAACGTTTCTTTCTTGTTAAGTATTTTAGTTAAAATTTCCACATTTTGAACACAGTCAGCAAGCTTAGAATGACTAATAGAAAGAAAATTATTATAATTAATATTATATATTTTGGGAGATAATAATTTGACTTATCTGATTGGGTCATTGCTAGATTGAAACTGATAGCTCCAAATTAATTTGAAGATGGACACCTAAAGTTATTCTTACCTTACATGAGTCTTTTATCCTATTTTATTTGTAGATTTTTCATGAGTGGACGTTACGGTAAACGTGCAGAGCTGGTGAATGAGAGAGACAACAAATACGACATCAGTGATATAATTAATACGAACGAAAGAGACAGATATAGATCTGGCGATAGGGACAGGGAGAGACAGGAGATATTGCGTAAATGGGAACCAAAATGCGACTGCCTCAAGTACCAAAGATCACGCCTGTTCCAGAATTATTATAAAAGGTAAAGTCTTCAACAAAACTTAAATTATCTTCTTATCTTTGATAAATAAGTTCTTATTCTACCGGCATTAAGAGCGGTACGCCAGAAAATTAAGAAATCGATGGCGGTAGGTGATAAAATAACAAGACCAACTGACAGATATTTACATCTCGTCTGTCCGTGATCACGGTTGATGAAAAGTAACCGAAACGTAGGGAGTATGTAGTTTTTTCACAAAAAAAACAGTGTATTCAAAAAATATTAGTTTAATTTAAATGAATAAAACTCGCGAAAGTCCTAGATCTCATTAAATAAGTTTTATCAAAATTTGTTTATTTTGATTTTGATCATAGCTTCATCACTTTGTTCTTATTATTATTAGTTAAGTTAAAGTATTAAATAATTTTAACAAATTTTATAATGGTTATATGTTCTACAGGAGTCCAGAAACTGTGGATTTCACGATGGAGGAAAACTAAGCTGAAATGTATCAAAAAAACCAAAAGAACTCCCACAACACCCTGTATAACCATTCAAGTATAAATATTTCTTATTCTGCTGAGACAAAACATTATATAAAGCAAAACTTAATTTTTCATTCATTATAATCTTAAATATAAGCAAAATATTATAAAATATTTAAAATTATTAACAAAAAATAACGCGCTGTTTAACAAAAAACAGTATAATAGGGTTGAAATTCAATTTGAAAGTAATTTCAGTAAAAAATAATGAATTTTGTTAAAAACTTTTCGATGTTTGATCTCATTTTTGGTGTAAAACAGCTTTGTTATTTTAATATATCGCCCCAAGTCATCGGCTGGGTAACTTGGTGCGACTATCTAGTCAAGAAATCATTGTAATCTAGATTTTAATGTTTTTTTTTTCTATATATAATATAAATGTGTAATAAAATTTAACATTCTCTATGCTTTTTTCTTTTACTTCCCATTTTTTGGAGTATCTTTATTATGACTAACGAAAAAATAATAAATTTGTACGGCATGAAATTGGCAATTGTTATATTATATATCTATAAGCAATATAAAAGTAATATATAATAAAATATATTAATAAGGTTGGTTACATTAAGTCAATGGTGGCCTAGTGGTTAAAAGGACCGCCTCTCATGCTCGAGGGCGCGGGTTCGATCCTAGCCCGGGCAAGTAAATGTGATTTTTACGAGTCATATGTACTTTCTAAGACTATTTAGACATCACTGATTAATGCATTTCCCAAAGAGGGTTGATGTCAGGCAGTCGGCCGGTCGTACAAACAATTAGCCAAAACTATTCACAACATACAAGGCAGACCCTGGCTATAGCTGAGAAATTGTCAGGTAGAAGATATTAATATGGGTTTTATTAAACAGACAAGACTTGTACCATTTTTAACCCCCGAAACAAAAACGACGGGGTGTTATAAATTTACGTCTCTGTGTGTGTGTCTGTCTGAAGGAACTTAGCTTATTTGTTACAAAAACCTCAATTTTCATGAGATAAAGATTTAAAACAGCTCTTTGATATTAAAAAATTCCTCTTTGATAAATTTAGTTTATAATTCAACTAATAAACATAATTATTATCATAATTCACTTAATCTGTCTTTACGAAAGCATTGGATGAAATTCATCAACATTTACTTTTACGAAAATGCCAAAAAAACGCTATAAAAAGTAGAGAAAACGAGACGAAAATAACGAAAATAAACCAAACTAATGTAATAAAGGTGTTGTTGCAAACGACAGCGAACTAACTATATATTAACTGCTATTATATACACGCAACTTGTATATTAAGTGAAAAAAAATTATATACACTTAGTAAATTAAAACAAAAGTATTTTGCACACAAATATTTCACACCCGAAATATTAGTAATCGTTTCTTAGTTACTAATATATTTAAAATTGGTTATGTAAAGGAGCTTGGACTGTGGAGGTGAGCGTTTAACGCGTTAGATAGGGACCCCTTAAACCTACACCTGGGTCACAAGTCCCAGTCACTGTTGAAGCTCCTCTCACTACAACGATGGACCCGACACACGCACCGTGAATACATTGAATTAAGAGTTTTGTCTCGTCTATACGATAAGTAATGTTTTGATTTTTATTATTACACTAGTTTTTGCCCGCGACTTCTTCCGCGTTAGTTTGGTCAAGAGTAATATATGTAGGTATAGCTGACCAGTCGAACTCTATTCCGTCTTAGAGGCCATAAATAATCAGGTTTTTCCTGTTTCAATCAAACAGAATTGACATATTAGTTAGTTGTCAAATCTAATGTCAAAATAAACGTTTGTATGAGAAATAGAAAAGGGCTGTTTTTAGGGTTTTCCCGACAATTATTCCAATTTTTCTCACCTTTTAAACCTTCCCAGGACTTCTAGGAGTATTTCACGACTAAAATTAGCAAAATCGGTTCAGCCGTTCTCGAGTTTTAGCGAACAGCAATCCATTTTTATATATATAGAAGATAGAAGATTATTTTTAAATAAAGTAGTGTTCTGATGTATGCTAGTTTTTTGTCAATGATACATCACAAATGTCAGTGGTGGCCTAGTTAGTGATTAAAGGGCCCGCCTCTCATGCATCAGGGCGCAGGTTAGAAACCTGGCAAGTACCAATGTGATTTTTCCGAGTCATATGTACTTTCTGAGATTATTTAGACACCACTGACCTACGGTGAAAGAAAACATCGTGAGGAAACCTGGACTTATAGTTTCACAATTATAAGTTTGAAATCACCAACCCGTCCTGAGCAAGCGTGGTGATTAATGCTCAAACCTTCTCCATGTGAGAGAGGCCTTTGCTCAGCAGTGGGCTCGGATAGGCTGATAATAATGACGCGATCACAAAATCGAACAGGTATATTTTTTACAATGTACACTTTGTCATTCATATAATAAGTTTGCACTACACTACATAAAATATTTCCAGTTTCTAATAAAATAACTTAATTTAATATTACCATAAAACAGTAGTTTAGATAAATGCATTTCCACATAACTTTATTACCGAATATTACCTATGTAATATTATATATAACGAAGTTTAACACAATTGTTATGAAAATTGTTTAACTCAGTCTTAATTGAAACACAACTATGTGTGACAAACAGATATACAAGCTAACTATTATATTGAATTAATAACAATTGGTTCAACTCAATTCCTGACTACAAAGGGATCGTCCTCTTATAGTTGTAATAATATTTGAGAGATTCAGTAACTTTATATTGTCTATCATTATTCATTAAATATTACTTTAATAAGATCTAAGACTTTTGCGAGTATTAATTTAAATGCAACTATTATTTTCGGACTTACTAGGCGTATTTTATTACTTTAAAACTACACGCATCTCGTCTGTCCGTGATCATGGTTGTTCCAAAGTAAAAATAACGGTAATAATCGGAAAATAATAATTATCTTTAAAAAAATACTTTATTTAATAATGATTCTCTAATTTTAATTATCTAAATATTACAATAAAATAATACTCGATACTATTTTAAATGAATAACAAGGATATTAAAATAATAACTTGTACAATTTTTTAAGTAATTTATTGTTGTACCAACTAAAATTCCGTCCCGACACCACATGAGATTTTAGATTTTTATCCACAACTAGCTGTGCCCGCGACTTCGTTCGCGTGGAATAGTGACTATGAGCAGCGTTTTTTTGACATAACTTTTTTATTTATGAACCGATTGACATGAAACAAACACTAAAGCATAACAGAAGCATACCACCATATATTCGTGAAAACCGCATCCAACTCGGATCAGCCGTTTCTGAGATTAGCGTGAACAGACAAACAGACAAAAAAAAGTTAATTACATTTTTGGGTTCGACATCGACATAACAATAACCCCTGCTATTTTTTTATTTTTATTTTCAATGTACAGACAGCACTTTTCTACAATTTTATTATATGTATACTGTATAGATTAGGATGATGACGCGTACCTACGTCTAAAAGATTCATGCGGGTAAAGCCGTCTGCATAAGCTAGTTGAAAATATAAAAACTATATTATAATATATATATATATATATATATATATATATATATATATATATATATATATATATAGAATGTTAATTTTATTTTTAATCTATTCCCCGGTCGACTAATCAAGCGTGGAGCTGGTAGCAATCAGGAGACATGAGTGCTGATAAATTTGATTTATCAATCGATAATTGATACCAACCATCAGGTTCTGATGTAAATGTTGCTAAAATTAGTTATTTATGAATAAAATTACGTAAATCGTTGATAAGTATTTTTGGAGCGAGAGGTATAAATTGTAACCTACTAAAAAACTTGAGTATCTCCAGAACTAATATCAATTCATTCTTGGAACGTAATTCGAAGGCATTAGTAGGTTCATTTTAAATTTGATTAGGTAGAGAGAGGAGCTTGGACAATGGAGGTAAGCGTTTAACGCGCGTTAGATAGAGGTCCCTTAAACCTACACCTGGGTCTCAAGTCCTAGTCACTGTTGAAGCTCCTCTCCCTGTAACGATGGACCCGACACACGCACGATAAATACATGGAATGATGATAACTTTCGTCTGTATAAACTTGCATTTTTATTCTAAGATTAGAAGCCAAGTTAGGCGTACTTTTCGTCGACACTATTGATCATCACGGAAATCTCGTTGATAAGTGGTGTGACCAATAGTATGTCATATTCTATGTTAATCAAGTCATGTATACCTTTCATCATCAGAACTCGGGAAAATAAAATTAGAAAAAGAATTTATAATAAGTCTTTGAAATATAGAAAATAAACCTAAAACAATATAGATGAGTTTGTCAGATCAATAAAGAAGTTAGATATACATATGTAGGTTTCAAAGCTAAAAATAATATGTTTAAATCCGTTTTTCATTGTATCAATTAATTTATGAATTAAAAGTTATTTTTAATCGAATACACTTTTAATTATTATCTTTCACTCAACTGTTATTGATAATTTAAAAGTTGAAGTTTTAAAGGTTTGTTTTTAAAACGATGGCTTCAATCACACTGGAATTGTAAAATATTTTGACAACGTTAACGTTTTTTAATGATTTTATATACCTTATGTATGTTCATACTCCTTTTTAAAGACTGATTTAAATAAAATTAAATAATATTTTTTTATAAGTATCATTTTAGTTAATAAAAGAAATGCTTTCCGAATACATAAATTATTTTAATATTTATGTCGAAAAATAACTGAAACATTACCATATACAGAATTAAAATAAAATGCTTTTGATACAAAAACATTATTTAATTTTATTGAAGTAAGTTTTCAATAAATCAACCTACAAATATTATTATTGTTATTTTATGCTATGTCTTCATTCACACTGTAATCGTGGAATATTCTGCCATCGACATTTTTATTTGTTGGACGAATCTTGAGTACTGTGTGGAGGAAACAAAAAAGATACAATTAATTTTAATCATATACTTATAGTTT